ATTGAACTAGATTTCAGTCAGATCTGTACCAGAATACTTTGCATATAGTTGCTTTTTCGAATTCGTTAAATTTTAGGAATAACGTTAAACACTTTATCAAGTTTTGTTATGTAGTTGAATTCATCAAGCTATACAAATATCTGATGGTCTATGATGCTTTTGTTATTACTTTCCTATATAACTCAATTGTTGTCACAATCAGCATCCTTTGGGTGTTATATATTATCAGAATATCTAACAATCAATTTATTCTATTGTATATTATTTAGGCTATCATAAGAAGAGCTGGAGTCAACAGGCAATAAACAAAATAAATAGTACAAAAAAAGCTTCAAAGTTCCTATCAGCGACTGTGTAAGAAAATACTTCCTTGTACTCCATATTGAGGAGCTGCAATGATTCACTGAACTGATAATATTCATTTTTATATAAATCATGCATTAGTGGTTATTTTGTACCCACATGAACATTCATCATATATCCTACAATTACAGAACATATAGAACTCAAAACAACTGTCAACCAATATCGAAGTCAGGATTTTCAATACGAATGTCAAGACAGTCCTACTGTACGGAGATGAAACTTGGAGAACTACTACAACCAACATCAAAAATGTACAAACTGAGCATTACGAGCATATCTCAGATGCGAACGTCTTTGTAGTCGAATTAATGCAACAAATTCCCAACAAGTTAACTCTAGTAAGATTTGTAGTAACTCCCAGTAAGCATTCACCACTGATACTGACTTCAGTGGTTTTGACAGGCTTGAATAATTGGAAGCACTCAGTTGAACATTCTTCTTATTAGAGAAAAGCATATATCCTGGATATTAACTAATGACCGTAAAATATAACCTAGATAGGTTACGTTCACTAGATGATTACTCTCCTATGTTCTTTTATATAATTTAGAAGTTAGCTCAAAGTTAATTCAGTGTTAAATCCTGAGAATATTTGAGTGTTAAGTGTAGATTTTTAGATTTTTAAGGGATTTCGATATGTGGTCAATGAAGTAATGTAATTTTGATTCACACAACTTTCGGGTGAGTACATATATGTATACTACTTATGTTGAAAGATATAAGTAGTATGTAACATCAATCGGAAGTGGAATACCTCCCAGTAGAAAATTGAAAGGATTGAATTGAAGAGAGCAGTAACGGAAACAGTGGAAATTGTAATAACAGCAGAATTGAAAGAGTCATGAAGCATGTAAAGAACAACTCAAAGAAGACATACAAATAATGCATTTAATGTATTGTTTTCATATTTTATGGAAGCATTCTATAATTTTGTATTCAGAAGCAAATTTGTTTTCCCCACAGCAGTTCTCGTTCACTACACATATGTCGTCTTATTTTCTCGATGATAATTAACCGAATTCTTTAGTCTCGTTAAAGTAAGTGAACTTTTACTGAAACAAATGAGTTGCATACATAAGTAGAACAGTCCTGATTTCGGCATACAGAAAGCGTCGACTACGCAGCTATAAGTTCAGAAACTATGATTGTCTATGACAATATTTATCTTCATCTCTTGTAGAATAAGTGTACTGTCACTTCACAGTAGTGATTAACATGATTGTACAAAGATGTTTTCGTGAAAAAGATTATCAACGTAAAAGCAGTGAAAATATCATACAGTAATAGATATTTGATGGAGTCTTGTTCTCTGAGCTGGATGGTTTGGTCGTGGAGCTTTCATCGTCCTTCCGAACGACATCATCAGCACAAATTTCGGGTAGAAGTGAAGTGTTTGATAGATAAGTTAAACATATTAAGGAAAACTTTCAAAAATACACTACTTTCGTGTTAGACAAATATAGATAATAACTGGAAACCTTGTTTTGAATTATTACATATGGTATGCAGACTAGGCATCACTTTTGCAACTCATTTGAAACACTACCCTACCGAATCCTAGCTTTTCATTAACATCCCCGTCGCCAAATGATATGCTTGATGCTATTAGGAGTTCACCTTACTCGGTAAACGGAACGAAGGTCAGCGACACACGCTAGGCTAATTCTAATCCATTGTCCCCGGTTCTGCTAACTAGACCAAGAAGTCTTGATGAGGCTTAGGGAATGTATTCTACAAGCACTCGCAAAATACAAGATCACTAAGCATATAAATCAAGCTTATTTATACAACGATAAAAGCGCTCTTGGGAGAGCCACAAAATAGCGTACTAAACGAATCCGCCAACCAATGACAGTCAAAGAATTCCGAGTGTGAAATGTTAGCTATGGGTCAACTAAGCGTTTTTTGGAGCAAAAACACAAAATTTAAATTTTCAGTATAAAATTACAGATTTAGGACCTTTTCTAAGTGAGTTCTGAGGTTTAAAGTTCCCAACACATATGAACAATTAAACTGAAAAAAATAATTGAAAAGTACATCACTGATGGACTATTATCAAATGATCAGTGCTATACAAATCATCAGGTTTTCATAAGTCTTTAATACTGTTGTTGTATTAACTATACACTAGGATAAATAACACCACTTCAATCATAAAACAGTACCACGAAGTGCTTTAACTGATAAGCATATTGATTATGCATTATAAGTATATATTACTTAAATGAAATATCGAAAATGGTGCTAGTAGCGAATACCAATCACTGTATACTTAATTGATTCACCAAAAACGAAAGATCATAAAATGAAATGAATAAGTATGTAGTATGTATGGTGGTCTAGCTTCAATTGACTCATGATTTCAACTGTGAAAATACCAAATTCTTCATAAAACCCCCTTTGCTCTATAATCATATGCTCACTAGTAACTGACTTCAAAAGATATTTCCTTGAGTTCTAATGGGAAGCACGGGCCAGTAGAGTTCTACCAGGTCTGTTGTAGAGATATCAAATCACTGAAGACAATTGGTGAACGGTCGCTCAAAATTCGTGGATCGGTTGAATTTAGTCATTAACACCGTTGGATGCCGACCGGCTCAGTGGTCTATCAGTTAAGGGGTATGGCTCGAGACTGGTAGTTCTTTAGTTCGAAACCCGTGAGTGCAAGATCGTGGATACGCACTGCAGAGGACTACCATATTAGGACGAAACGACCGTCCAGTACTTCCAGGTTTTCGATGGTGGTCTAGCTTCAATTGACTCATGATTTCAAATGTGAGAATAAGTATGTGTTTGTGTTTATGTATATGATGGACAGAGTTCCATATAAAAGAAGGAAGGAAATCAAGTAGACAATCTATTTAACATAACCATGTGTCCATGAGAAGTCATGCATGATTTTCTTTCAAAATAACAATTCTTAATATTTATTTCAGAACAATAAATGAAATCTTGTTAATATGAGTAAACGGAACAATCCAGTGTAGTGGGTTTAGTTTATATAATCGGATCTGATTACTAGTTGGTTAAGTGTTGAGTGGTGAGTGGATATGAATATTGATAATGGTGATGATGATGAGATGAATGAATGAATGAATGGGGTTTCCAGTAATGATCAAAGTAGAAGTTGGAGAGGTAGAGAGAAACAATGTCATCACTAATATTCACAAATAGTTGTGATAATGATATTCGTAATAATAATCATAATCATAACAGCATAAAGAAGAAATTCAATAAAGCGAATAGACATGAATGCGTGAAATAAATGAATGAATAAATGTTGGATAATGGAATGATGATCTTCCATCTGTTACACAATTTCTACTTATTATTCGTAGATCGTGTGAATTACTGATTTGGCCTGGAGGGGTTTCGAATCAATAATATTGTAATTAAAATAAGCAAGTAGTCTGTCGATCATCACATTGATCTTGAGATCACAATTTCCTTGATATTTGTAGGTGTGTGTGTATGCGTGTGAGTGTGTGTGTGAGTAGATGGTTTTGGGGGATGTAGTTGTTTGACTTTAATGAGCAATGTGTTCACTGATTTGCATGTACGTGTGATCATGTGAAGTCTGAATGGGTGAATGTGATGCCTAGAGTACAGGAGATCACAATTACCTCCCTCCATATGTTCAATAAAACAATTTCATTGTTCATAGAACACACATACATATATTCAATTAATTTCTCCAACTCCTACTACCATTGCTCTTTCAATTCCCCCTTACTCCCCCACTCACTCACTCACTCTCTCTTTCTCCTTATCTCTCTGTCTCCACTCTGAAAACATTCTGCTGATTAATTAAATTGACTCACACAAGCAATATGCATAATGGTGAATAATAAGTGAGAATATGTTGACAGATGGATAGTGTAAATGATATTTACTCTATAAATGTACATAGAATCATTTTAATGAGATGGGATGTCAGGAAGTGTAATTTATTGGGGAGTTGATAGAATAGAATACACGAACAGAGTATAGAGATTATCGATGGAATTCCACTTAAAGAAAACTGCAAACTGTATTCATATGAAATGTGATTGTTTTACTAATGGTAAATCACCGATACATTGGATATGCCTAATTGCATGTACACACGCGACTGACAGTTGTGAGATAATATCTTGCATCGAGATTTATTGTATCCATTCAATGATCAGTGTGAGAATAAATGTGTTCCTGTAATTACAGGAAGATCATCAGAGTAAATTGATTTCCAGTGTAAAGTACAGATATGATTTAGAGAAGCATGACGAAATATGATGATGAGTAGTACTATGAGCAGTAGTAATGGTGGTGTCAGTTGCACGAATAGACCATTAGTAGTTTCACACTGCAAAACAGGTCGACCTGGATTCGAATACACCTTGAAGCATCAGATAACTCTGCACTTCAGGTATCATTTGAACCACTTCTACAATGAAATCTTTGATCACTTTACAGAGACATAACAAACGTGTATTTTATGCTTGAACAAAATTGTTGTAAAAGTGATTGTAGGTGCTTGCAATGTGGAGCGAATTTAGTTTGTAGTCGGAATTCCCATAGAATTTCGATTGGTCCTATCAAGTATCTCCAACTTGAATTAGCACAACACGAAACAAATCTAGTTTCAAAGATGTAACATGTTATCACATAGAATTCGTGGACGATACAAAATGATGAAATTGTACTTGAATTGTGATGATAAAAATAATCGAGATGATGTATCGTGTATAACTGACTCTCAACATGAAAAATATTCAACGACATTTGTCAGTAATAGTAATAATAATAATGATAGTGGTAATGATATTCGTATGGAGATTACTTACTTCTTTACTTACGCCTGTTACTCCCAATGGAGCATAGGCCGCCGACCAGCATTCTCCAACCCACTCTGTCCTGGGCCTTCTATTCTAGTTCTATCAAGTTTTTGTTCATTCTTCTCATGTCTGTCTCTATTTCTCGTCGTAATGTGTTATTTGTTCTTCCTCTTCTCCTTTGACCTTCAGGATTCCGTCTGTAGCTCCTCCGGGAGCTACTGCCGGTCCTATGACCGGGTAAAGGAGGAGGGTTGGGCATGGGGTTAGCAACTCCATCCCGTAGAAAACCAACTCTCTAAGAAAACGCTAACCAGAAAAAATTATTCAAAATTCTTCGTTATGGGGATACTTATTACCATTGTCATTCACATTACCCTATTATTGCAATCATGTCATGTACACGTAATAATGTTGATTGATTTCCTAACTGGTTGAATTCTCATTTACACAATGATATTTCAATGTGTGTGTGTGTGTGTATGGAACTATTTTGAAAGGAAGAATACTTAGTTTAAACAAAACGAGTGATGTACAAACGATGAAGTTTGCTCATTTCCATTATTGTTACCATTGAGTATTCTTATTGTTATGATTATGATTATCATTGCCCATCAATAATGTTAATCAAACTGATTGTAGCTAGTTTCAATGAACCATGTTATCTAACTGACAAGTTAAATGATATTGGCAACTATCAATGGTTCAAATGAATGTCATTGATAAACTGTTTAGTGTATATTGTGTGATGAATCAATGAGTAGTAACCTGTTTCACTGATCTATCTGTCTTCTAGTCACAAGCCTAGTAAATCATTACTTCTATTATATTGTATTGTGTATGTATTGGATTGTGTGGGGGGTGGGTTTGAGTGGAGTGAGTCGGGTATGTGTGTGTGTGTGTGTAAGTGATTTTATTTGTTAGGGCAGTTGATTGAATTAGCATAATTTGCTAATGTGCATAGTTGATTAGCATGAGATTTGATCGGATTGAATTGAATTGGGAGGAGAATGGAACACTTTCTGATCTCTGACTTGTTTGTTTTATGTGTAAACTGATTATATTCCATTTATTTCTACCTTATTTATTCAGTTGACCCTCCAACACCACTTATCTCGTTCACTGGATGCGAAAATGTGGGTGCAGCTGAGCATGTGTTATTTGTCACTGGGATAATATTGCAAGTCAATAATTGATAGAAATGGTATTTGTACAATATATGAATTGGTTATAACAAGAAATATTACATTTTGTAATGAAGAACTATTGTGGATACAATCATTGAACAACACTTCATTGACATAAACTACCATGTAAATAATTGACGAGGGTTTATTAGTGTATCGACCATTCGCTCGGACACAATGTAATATTTGATAGTATGAATAGTATGAAACTGTGGAAACTGTGGTGACTGTTTCGAGAGTTGATCTTAGTTCTGACTGACAGTAGAATCGTCTATCTACCATGAGAAAGTTATAGGACACTTCAAATTGACTTTGTATAAATTTATTAGTCGATTTGACCATGTGAGATGTTTGTCGTTTGCAGCCATAACTAAATGAATATGAGACTAACACTGTGCTTCCCAGACACAAACTGTCAAAAATAACACCACAATGAGTGATAATAGTTGAAATCGTGAGTCAATTGAAGCTAGACCACCATGAGAAAGGTGGAAGCACTGGACGGCCGTTTCATCCTATTACGGGACTCCTCAGCAGTGCGCATCCACAATTCAGGACTCACGAGATTCGAACCCAGGACCTACCAGTCTCTCTCCAGAGCACTTGACCGATAAACCACTGAGCCGACACCCAACGGTGTTAATGTCTAAATTCAAACACTCAGAACATTGATTATCTCATCGATCGATTCACGTCAACTCACTAAACCACTTTCTTAATCTAGCAATATCCCCAATGCATACCTCCCTTCTCTGCACAATTGTTTAATGAAGTATAATGGTGAGAAAGGGAAATGGATTAGTTTTCAGTGAAGTCATTCAAAGTCAACTTGTCAACTTTTATACTATATATTCGATTAACGGATAACTGTGTAAATGAAAATATATTCGGTTTATGTGATTATATTTGAGTATATGAATGATTATAGATTGGAATTATGACTTTGACTGAACATATGTGCAATTTCCCATTAATATCTCATTCATGTCTCACAACGGAATTCTCATATCAATGTGTCAGTGTCTGTCAATGTGTTTGTTTGTGTGTGTATATATGTGTGAGCGAGTTCAGTTGAATTATTTATTATTCGAATCAAACACATCGATTAGACTAGATCTTATTATCTTAAAATGACCATATGGTTAGTCCTACATTCACATTATCCTTTCCTCTTCTATCCTACCCATCGCTCCTTCTTCCTTAGTCACTCACTCACTCACTCATTCACACTGAGTGTGCAGTCAGATGTGTGGAAGTGACCACGATCGCACTCTCTACACATGCAATATAATGATAATGGGCAATGTTAACCAGACTCACATTCTCATGCTCAGCATTACCTACACAATTATCTGAGGGAATGTGAAACTTGTGATTGACTACGCATGTTAGTTTGACTGCTATGATTGTTGTTACCCCTGTTTATGCCACATATCTATTACCCCTCCTCATTCTACTCCTCACTCTATCATCGACATTCTCTACAACTACATGCATTCTCGAAGAATTATGGATAATCAACTACCTTCCTAATAAAGTGTAAATGTTAATGGAAATAAACGGAGTTGGCGTGTTTTCCCGACTCTCCACACACAATGAAACAACTAGTCGCAGACAACAATATTAATAATACTACTAATAATAATAACATCCATGTTATCATGATGAACAGTGAGGTTGTTGCCACGTGATTTAGAAGTTAGTGGTGGTGTTGATGGTGGTGTTGATCAGAATGAAAAAGAGATTTTTGACGCTAAACAATCTCACTCAAACGACACCATACTAACGAATGGCATTATTATTATTATTATTATTATTATTATTATTATTAATACAATGGTCAATGTTGATCTGATAGAAATTGAATATTCGATAACCAAGTGATTAAACTGATATTCATCTTCGCAGTTAAACAAATAAATCGAAGTCGTCTGTTTGCATTACCCAAGAAACAGAGTAACAGAATCCGTACACAAACACATTCACACAATCACACAGAACACCGTACACTAAAGACGGAACACGCAGCACACGAACATGCACAATCTCTTAATTTCTCAGAATAAACATTGAAATTATTATTTTTATTATGATTATAGATAAACACCTAGACGAGGGAAATAACAGTGATTCGTCGTTTGATTATGACTTATTAGTCAAATTGAATAAACATTTGACCAGTGTGATGGTGTGTTGAGATTAAAAATCTTGATTGTTAGATGGAGGATTCATTTAGTTTGTATTGCTGAGTAGCGTGTCAAATCTATTAAGCTGAAAATAAGAGTTCACATTTAGATTCGAACAAATGACTTATGTACTTATGTACCGATATGTCATGTCGGATTGGTGTGATTGACAAATTCGGAGCGTTGTATTTGGAAAATATATTAGAGTTGTCTGATTACTTTGTGATGGGAATTAGCGCGTGAAGACCATTTCCATTTTGGTATTGTAGTTTCTTTGACAGTGCAAAGTCGTACATGGAGGACAGCGCACAGATGCATTTCCAGTGAGGACCGGATTCAGACCGGACTGTCTACTCTTGCTATTTCTTCTAGTGATTGACTGGATTATGAAGACTTCGACATCTGACCGGAAATACGGAATACAATGGACATGTCAGAAGGAAAGAAGAAAAGATGAAGGCCAAACAACACATTACTCCGGGAAATAGAAGAAGATATGAAAAGGATGAATGTTAACTGGAAAGAACTGGAAGGGATTGCCCAGGACAGGGTTGGGTGGAGAATGCTGGTGTGTGGCATATGCTCCTCCACAAGAGGTAACAGGCGTAAGTAAGTAGTAAGTAAGTAAGCTTCTTTGAGAATCATGTTCCTACAGAAATATTCAGCTTTCGTTTATTCCATTCATCTGAGTGCAAAAGTGGATTGATTGAATGAATTCGAATTGCACTCAAAACACGAAAAATCTTTTCTCGGATACTCTAGAGAAATACAACGTCACGAGTATTAGTAGATTATTTCCAACTAGAAAATTAAATTGTTTGTTATTTAGAACGAATGGAGATCCGTTTCGTTAACATAAACTTTAATGGCACTCCAAATCAAATCCACTTAAGGTGTTGAAATCTCAATCACAATGAGATCTGCAATGTGGTCTACCAACAAATGTTATGTTAGTTTCTATAACAAATAATGAAGTCATCACACTCTGAATGTTTGAATGAATTGCGGGATAACTTATTGTGTTGATTGAAGCCTATACAGTTGATTCATCGTCCTATGTCTTTATTAGTTTACAACATATACAAGTGAATTACTTGTTATCATTCAGTTACTGAACTATACTGTCGTTGTATTCTATACTCTGTTTTCTATACTCTTATATGACATACAAGGAAACTGTCTCTGTTTTTAAGCACACAACGTTGTTATATGATAGACAATAAAGAAACCACAATGTTACTAATCATTTGACACTGGAAAATTTCTATCAGATGATCTACCTACCTACCTTTAATGTATACTATAGTGATTGGTGTTAGTTTGATGTGTTTGAGAAGATCATGATATTCATGATTGGTCTAACTAATCATGATCAGAATCATCACAACAATGGTCATTTCACTTTGTTCCAAAGGGGTAAGGTTCAAACTCTCTGTCGAGATTTGTATTCTGTGCTTCCTACTTTCCACTTAATCAATGAAGTACGATCTGAGAATATGTAATTACATGTAGTGTACGCTACAATGCATATTCACTAATGTTTTCGAACTTGTGATTTTGAGCAAACATGTGTGAACATAACTTCTATCTAGATCTGAGTCAGAATTCGCTTACTGTTATCATCGCCAATGCTACTAGCACTTCTCCTGCTCCTCGTCATACTACTACTAATACTACTGTAATGAGCGAACACTCAAGTGGGGACAATCGATTTTGTGTTTCATGCAAAATTACAGAATGTCTTTGTAAAATATGAGAACCACACATTAAATACTTCATTTATATCTGTCGACATAAGTGGCATGCACTACACTACTGCTACAACAACTACTACGACTACGACTACTCCCGTGGGAATGAGTAACAATCAGAGCTCACTTCATCTATTCCTATCTGACGACATTAATGTTTGACGAAATTAAATGTACAAGGTATCGTTGCAACCATAGTTTCACTTTTGGCATATCATATCAACACAATCACTCAATCCACCCGTGTACCTCACAAATTTGTCTACCCAACAAATGTATCATGTATGATATTCTGTATGATTTCACTCTTCCACAATCGTTTCAATGGTCGTTTGAACAAATTCGGTGATTTGTTAATAATCTAGTTAATAATATTTTTATGTTATCTATAAACAACGATTACAGTCAGAAGAATGAGAATAACAATGACGGGATTTCTACTTGTTCAGTGTCACTGTGTGTGTGTGGGAGGGAGGGTTTTGTGAGTGTGTGAGTGAGTGTGTACATAGAACATAGTGACTGATGTGTAACTTCTATGTAACAATAGAAAATGTTATTGGTGTTTATTTGGTAACTACTGTTCAATAAAATTGAAACCCACTTGACAGAGAATGATGTAAACGAGACAAGAAATAGGATACTTGAGTCCTACTAGAAAAAATATTGTTCATAGTAGTAGAAAATAGAGGTTAGGAAGGGATAATAGAAATCGATTAATACTGTTACTAACTCATTTCAATTATGACAATGATGATAATAATAATAATAATAATTCAGTTAGCAACCGAGTTTGATGATAGTTTTCCTCATTACCTGTTTCATAATCGTCTATCCATTTAAACAGTTGAATAATAACAGTATCAAAATGATCACTTGAATGTTCCACTCTATTGTGTAACATTCAATCTCACTGACTCTCATGCAGACAATGGAATATTGTAATGAATAAATTTGATTGAATACACTGATTCATAATCTAAATTCACTCACACATATACACATGAGGTTTCACAAGGAAATAGGAAGATAAAATCGGGTCTGTGAATGTACTATTGTGCAATATTTGTCATGTGTTCCGATGAATTCATCAACGAGATTGACTTGACTCGATCTCTCTAGCTGAACATGTTCAACACCGGCACAAGTGTTAACAGTCAACATTCTTCATGAAAGAGAATGGAGACACTTTGATTCATTGAGAAAATATGGGAGATATACTGTTTTTCACATTAAATGTCTGAATGATCAACGGCATAAATAATATTTGTATTACAACCACTCAATCACTCTATGTTTCCATGTGATCCCCAATGTTCAAAAGCTTTACTCATAAGCTTCTTGTCTCAGTGCAAATAGCATTTTCAAAGACTGGTTTAGATATGGATAAGTCAACTGCATATGTCGACTACGGAAATCAGGGAAACATTGAAATCAATGATGAATCAACCTACAATGATTTGCTGGAATGAAAGGTGAATGGGACAGTTGTCTATTTGAACTGCATCGAAAAGTGATCTTCACAGGGATATGCAAGTCGTCGATGTTCTTACTCACCTCAAAGAAATCTTTGTATTGTCATATGTAGACCTAATCATTTGAACAATGTCCATGGAGTTGGTTTCTGATTGACAGGTTCACAACTACAATTTCATTAATTAAGTATTTGTCAGTTAATAGAAACTATAAACATAATGGGAACTGCCTCCAAATTAAATCAAACTTTTTTAATTGTATAGACATTTCGGAAAGAGAATGATCAGAATAAGCATCCCTAATCAATTCAACTACAATCATCATAGTTAAAAGGGTTTTTGGTTATCCGTTATGTTTTCATTTCTTGTTCAAATGATTTCACTGTTAGTCAATTAGTTTCACTAATTGCTTATAACATTGTAATTGATTGACAGAATGTGAATAAATTTTTCTTGCACGCAAACATGCCTATCAAAGTGTTCAGATGATCAGATTGTTGGAAGTGATGAAACAATGAAATACACATTAGAGAAGTGAATTAAGGAGCCACAATCAAACCAATAAGACGATATGATGAACCAACACACATATACACACTTGCAAAGATGTACAAAGGAACAAATGACTAACATCTTTCTAACTCCATTTAAAGACACATAAAAACACACAATTACTCCTCTTCAACTCTCTCTCACACACACAATCACACATAAACATGATACACGTCTCACATGCCTCAAACGCCTCTTACATGACAAGACAGATTATGAAGTGAACAATGTTGAATAAGAATGAAGAGAATTCAGCGAAGAGAATTTTCTTTCCGACAAAATCATTTACTTAAGCTATGAATTCGTATTTGGGAGGCGAAACCCGTCTCAAATGTCCTCGTCGTGCCTCCTGGATCATAGCACTGACCACCTGTGCTAATATGAGCCGTAATATGGGTGGTGGAGATCGGCTTAATCAACCACTCTACCTTTGATTTTGAATTCCAAATACAGTACATTTGTTCGTGCTCACTTCTTGATTAAATTTCGTTATCGCTGTGATTATTAGTTTATACCATATTTCAAATACTCTTAAAAATCACATTACAAAAAATCATTGCATAATCACTGTTGGTTCATAAAGAAGAAAAGAATGAATCTGCCAAAAAAAGAAAGAAAGGAAGAATGATGTAATAATTCTGCATAAACAATGCAAAATCAGCTATTGAGCCCCAGTAGTTGTACCGTGCTTCAATGTAGCACTCTTCTCGAGAAGGGCCTACTAGTCTTCACCATGTTCCTATGGCTGGATGGGGTACATTCGTATTTATAGTTATATGAAAAATATCCATCTATAGAGGGATAGAAGATGTTGCATCATATGTTGTTTCAAGACTCTTGTTATCAAATGAATGTACGAATGATTTCGTTGAAAGGGGGATTTTCTTCGCTGAATTCTCTTTGTTCTTCTTTATTCAACAATGTTGTTAATGTTTTATTAGTGATCATGATCATGACGGCGTATTTGCTTGAACAGAAACACTACGTAATCGAAATTCACAATAACAGACATAATATATTAAGAGAAATAAAACGTATATACGATTGCGCACAACGAAATACGTCTTCAATTTGTAACAGATTTCCACTTCATTTTCTCTTTCATGGGAGTGCAAGAGAGAAAGAGAGAGATGGATAGATAGATAGAAAGGGAGGCAGGGACTAATAACGAGAACACAATTGAAGAACATCATTATTGATATGGAGATGTGACAAGTATTTGTAATAGTAACGACAATTGTTATATTATCGTATTTAGGCAACGAAAACAATAATAGTAATACTAATGATACTACTATTACTACTACTACTACTAATACTAATACCACTACTACTACTAATACTACTACTACTACTAATACTACTACTACTACTACTACTACTACTACTACTAATAATAATAATAATAATAATAATAATAATAATAGTCAAGAACATGTCTCTTTGATATTCAAAGTTAAACATTGAATTTTAAGTGGAAAAATAGTTTGCGCAAACACCACTTCACCATTCTGTCTATATGGAGTTCACAGTTTCGGTCATTCATACAAATGACTAAATGCATGGAGGCAAAGTTATCTGTATTGATTAGTCTCACTTAAACATGGATTGAAGATTTTTTGGATGAACATAGTGAAAGTAGAGTACAACGAATAATAATACTCTCTCAGTTTATCATCATATTATCTTGTTGTCTTAGTGATTAGATCTACAAGTGAACCAGTTTTAGTTGGACGATTAAATGCGGGTTTTTTTTTTACTTTTATTTCTCTTGTCAGAAAGAAATGAGTGACCGATATTGTGTATGAGTGTAATTCAAGTGTGTTCTTCTTCTTCATCATCATTCTACTTGACATTCATCCTCTCCACCTTACTATTGTGTATTAGTATTAATTTGTTTCCTAATCACTTTCTCTTCTCATCATGCTCTCATACATACAGACATTGTATTTCTCATATACATAGGTCAATACACATACACACTCCTCAAGTGAGTAATATACGATACTCATTGAAGGCTGGCTTTTGGATGGAAATATAAGTTAGTGTCCTAATTGTAGTAAAGAAAATGTAATGGTAAGCTAACACTAGGAACCACAGCACTGTTAATAATAATAATAACAATAATAATAACAATAATAATAATAATAATGGTACTGGCAGTACAGTTTAGTATGGTGATACTCATTGATGATGGTGTTGAAAATGGTCGTGTTGTAGTTGTTTATTGTTACATAAATAGTTTTTAATTCTGATCTTGTACATTTTTGGTTTCATACTCTGAAGGTTTGGTATTTAGAAAATTTTACTGCGGAAATCCAAAAATTGAGGATTCATAGTGAAATTTGTCATGATTATTGAAGGAGCAATATATTTGAGTTTATTATTCACAATTTATGAGTAAAATTTGGCACGCAAATTATAATTTGATATCCTTTTTATTTAGGTCGTAAGTTACGATTTCAACAATTGATCGTGGTTTAATTACGGATTAGCGAAAAATTTGGACTTAACATCTACTCCCAAATCTTTCTAAAGAGAACACAGAATACTTTTCTTGTTTTCTATGTATATGTTTTTAATTTTTCAGCTACTATACTTTCTGGTCCTCCAGCCTTGCTAATCTTAGTCTGCATGATGGAAATGCTAATTTCTTCTATTGTTAGTGTTGTGACATGAATAAGAAGATCTATATATGCTACTCCGATGTACGGTGTCTTGAGTGTGGCTAGACTATTCAAGAGCTCTTTATAGTGTTCTACCAGCCCGCTTCATTGCACTTGACTCCTATTGATTGTCTTACCACTTTTTATTTTCGTACGGTCGTTTTGGTTCGCTATACTTTCCGACTAGCTCCTTTGCTTGCAACACATTTTTTCGTGTTTTCTCTCCTTGCCGTTTGTTCTGCCTTAGCTGTCAGGCCTTTTACTTACACAGGCCCTACGAAATTGGTGTTCTTCCTCACTTACTTGTTTTCTTTTGTATATCGGGCTTGTGCCTTGGTTTTATCGGCTTCTATTTGTCCATTGTTGGCCGAAACTTTATTGTTTTCCCCTTCTCCAATCTTATCCTGGGTATCTATGTGGATTCATTATCTACGCTGATGCTTGACGGAGTTCATTGCCTCCTGGCATATCTATTACATGTTTAGGACTTTTTAACCGCTTTTTAATTGCTCTCAGTATTGTTTTTCCTTTCTGTTAGCAGATCTCGTAAGGCTTGCGACCTGTTTCTCACCGACTTTGCCAGCAACTTTAAGGAAAGATGAATAAACCTCTTGTAGTGTTGCTTGTCCAGCTGCTCGATTTTTCTTTAGATTCAGTTTTAGTTTGGGAACCGCCAGGTGGTGTGAGGATTCACTGGTTCTTATCTACTTTTCGTACATTTTCCAATGACCCTCAGGATTTTTTATTCATATGAAGTGATCGATTTGGTTCTCTGTATATTGTTCCTGTGAAACATGTGAAGCTTAGTGCATTTATATGGGGTTCGGAAGCTAACGCATGTTAAAGTATTACTGAAAAGCGTACGAACTAGCCAGTATCTCACCATCTGCGTTTCTCGCTACAAACTGTCTACGACTAGTTCGTAGTCAGTGCAGTCCGACCATGGTGTGTAGATCCCTCGTCACTATGGGGGGATTTTTCTGGGAATTTCTCTAGGACTGACTACAGGCTTTTATAGTACTGGTCTGTATCATCTTTGCCGCTATTATTTGTGTGTGGCACCTGATAACTTTCGATGCAATTATTTTCTTTATTCCGAAGGGTGCTTTATGGCCATCAAGTAATGCATTCCTCGTTTGATATGCTATTTAGTTCTCCCCATTTTGTGTGCCATTGTTCACTGTTGGCCTATAGTCTTTAAAACATGTTAGGTCACTTATTACTCTCTGTACTGCAGCTAACATTAATGAACACGTGGTACTGAGGACAAGGAAATACAAAAAAGAAGAGCGCCAGGACAAACAGCTGTAAATGGTTGCTGAAGTGTTATTATTTTTAGAGAGATAAATCAGAGTATCCCTGATCACTATGTAGAACTCTAACCAATTGTTGTCGCTAGAATGAAATATAATTAAAGGAAATACAGATAGATTATTCAAGGAAAGTGCTATGTGTTTAAAAAACGAAAGATGGAAAGAGGTGAGGTTTAGTAAGAACAGGAATTAAGTGCAAAATGGGATGAATGTATTCTTATTTCGAGGAAGAAACGCATGAATTTTAAGTTTCTATATACACTAGCTTTTTCGTTATTGTTAGTTTTATTTGCTATTCTTTCTGCTGATTACCAACATTTTGATCTCAGCGTTAACCCATATTTACATGTAGTTGAATATCTTATTAGTATGGTAAAGCTGACTTAGGATTGGAAAAATGAATTCAAGAACTAGTAGGTATAGGAAGATGTTATTAATATAATTGAATAATACTCCTCAACCCCTATCATAAAGAACATTGATCAAACAGACGATCTCACACGAGGGGTGTAGTGTAGTGCTTCGTTAATCGATCGTCTTGATAACCGTTATTATAACAATCTGAACGGTGTGTAATATCAGAAGACAAAGGGAAGCAGCAACTACATTTTTATTGATAAATAACATGGGCTAGAAGGCAGTGAGCACATTAGCAAATGTAAGCAAGCGAAGGAAAGATGACGCAGAGTGGAGATGGCTGGGAAGCCAACTCGTTATAAGCAAGCATTAATCAACATTTGTAGTCAGACTAAAATGAATGACAGACATGTGATAGGTAGGATAAGAAGGGTGCATACACATACGCTCATATAATAAATAGTCAAGGTCAATAAGGGAATAATTAACAAGATCAAAATATGACTCATAACGTTATAGGTGAATTGGCTTGTCCAGAAACTAGAATAAGCTATGTAGGTGTAATATAGTACACGACGTTACACTACTCCCCACAGGGGAGAAGTTCTGTAACTTGTTCGTCTGAGGCGCAAATTGGAGGCTGATAACGCAAAATGAGATGTAATTAATGTACCAAAGGTTGGGAAAATTGATATGGTTATGTTCAAGCTACTAATTATAAACCTCCTTTCCAAGTTTTTAGATACGGATATATGACCTGCCGGGATATGAAGTATTGAGCTCCGTCTGAAAGACCATTTTGCTTAGACTTACGATTGTCACATTATTTACAGTGTAGCTGTAAATAATTCCCCAAAATCAATAGCTCATTAAGTGTTCGACATTGGATGCTGACCACGTTGTTTAAGTGGACTTGTTTAACTGAAGGCTTTCGGTCATGCATCCGTACCAGATCACGTTGCAACACGGCGTGGGACACAGCTCCTACGTTCATTAGCCAGCTTATAGTAAAGGTTCCTCGATATATTGGTAACGAATCAAATATATCTCTCCTACCTCTCCTCGTCTGACTTCTGGTTTCTATTTGACTGGGAACGAACGATTATAGAAGATACTACTGGTTGCTAGTTGCGAAACTAGAATATCCGTGGTATCCTCAGTGGTGAAACCGACGTGATCTGGTACACCAAGCCAATATACTGTGAGTCTGCTCCATTTTGGAATATTATTATTCATTGTTATTCTTTATTTGAATTTTATGTATTGTGATATACTGTTTTTTCGCGAATTTTTTTTCCCGGATATATTTTAATTAGACATTTTTGGTTATCTATATTACTATGACGGAACACTCTCCTAAGGTTTTTAAGTTTAAGTCTATTCCCCCTATTTCGATACAGTTAACGCCATTTTGGCCCGACAATATCGAGTCCTGGTTCTGCTACGCAGAAGCTGATTTTGCATGCACGGAATCACGGACTCTCGCATACGTTTCCTCGCGGTAGTTAAGGCGTTACCGCGCGAGTTTAACAGGTACGTAACACCTAGTATGTTTACTAGCGATGTTCCCGAACCTTACGAAACTCTCAAATGTTCGATCCTCAAACGTGGAGACCTAACCGACCGACAACGGTTAGACCAACTCTTCCATAACATCGACTTGCAACAGGGTTCTGCGACAGACATGTTGCTAAGAATGAGAGAGGTTATCGGCCAACGAACTTTCGATGATGGCCTATTCAGACAACTTTTTTTGTCTAAACTCCCTCAACAGGTGCAGGCAGTGCTTGTTTCATTCCAAAACAACGCCATAGATGAGCTGGCTGCATCCGCCAACCGAATCTTAGAAATCACTAAATCTTCTAAGGCCGAGGTTTTTTCCGTCAAGGAAAAACCCCAATCGACCCCGAATGACATAGCCGAACTATGTCACACGCTTACACGATATCTTAGAGTTCATAATGACCATAGTCGGTCAAAAACCCCGCGTAGAAGTGTCTCACGTAGACGATCTGGCTCTCGACCACGAGAGACAGACAATCCCGACTGGTGCTGGCATCATAACCAGTACGGTAAGTCTTCCAGAAATTGCAGGAAACCCTGCAATTATCCGATTTCAAAATCGACTGACACGAATAAGATTTCGGGAAACTTCCAAGCCGGCACGCGTAGCACGGCAACCGTAGCCGGAGAACACAGCCGCCTCTTATATGTCACGGATGTGACTATGAAAGTTCGCTACCTCGTCGACACTGGCGCAGAAGTTAGCGTTCCTCCAGCAAATCCCGACGACAGACTTCGCGAGTCTGTTTTAAGTTTACAGGCGGCAAACGGAAAACCGATCGCTACTTACGGTAAAAGGTACGTCTACCTTAACGTGGGTTTACGCAAACCCATACACTGGATTTTCGTTGTTGCAGATGTTTCTATGCCGATCAATGGTATAGATCTGTTACAACACCACAATCTACTCATCAACACACGCTCACGAAAGTTAATAGACGGAAACACTAAGTTATCTGTTTGCGTAACTCCTTGTTCTGGTTGCAGGTTATCCCCAGTCACGATTAAGCACACCATAGACCCCTCGTACCAATCAGTACTCGACAAATACCCCGGGATATACCAATCGCAATCGAAATTGCCTTGTGTAACCAGCAATGTTACACATCACATCTCGACTACAGGACCACCTGTATTCTCGAAATCCCATCGACTCGCTCCCGAAAAGCTTAGGTTAGCCAAAAACGAATTTGAGCATTTGATGGACTTAGGTATAATTCGACCACCGAATAGTCCTTGGTCATCCCCATTGCACGTGGTCCCTAAAAAGGACAGCAATGATTGGCGGCCAACTGGTGATTATCGGCGTCTGAATGCTAAAACCATTCCCGATCGTTACCCGCTGCCTCATATTCACGATTTGACAGCTACCTTGAAAGGTACAACTGTCTTTTCGAAAATCGACTTGGTTAAAGTCTATAACCAAATTCCGATGGCACCTGACGACATTCCTAAAACTGCCATCATCACTCCTTTCGGTCTTTACAAATTCTTGCGAATGCCTTTTGGTTTAAGAAACGCGGCTCAAACATTCCAAAGGTTTATAGACAACGTCTTCCGAGGTCTCAACTTCGTACATGCGTATTTTGATGACTGTCTAATAGCAAGTCTGGACAGGGAATCGCATCTCAAGCATCTGGACATTGTTTTCGATCGACTCCAAAGGCATGGCATTACTGTCAACATTCAGAAATGCCAAATCGGAACAAACTCCTCAGACTTCTTAGGACACACTATTGATGCCCAAGGCATCCGACCCCTTAACAACGAAGCGGCGGTCATTCTGGATTACCCAGAACCGACCACGATCAAGCACTTACGAACTTTTAACGGAATCGTAAGTTTCCATAGACGGTTCATACCCAAATGCGCATCCCTAATGAAACCGTTAACCGATCAGCTTCGTGGAAATACAAAATCAATTAGTTTGGACGACATAGCCCGTGAAGCATTCTCCACAGTTAAGGAACACATCGCTAAAGCAACCCTGCTTGCTCATCAGGACACTCAAGCGCCCATTAGTATCGCAGTAGACGCATCCGACTCAGCAATCGGGGGAGTCTTACAACAATGGGTTAACAACTCGTGGCAACCTTTAGGATTTTTCTCGAGACGGTTGTTAGACGCTGAATCTAGGTACAGCACGATCGGTAGGGAACTCCTAGCTACGTATTGTGTTGTACGGCATTTCCAACATTCCATCGAAGGAAGAGAATTCACACATCACAAACCTCTTACCTTCTCCTTAAGTTCATCTTCAGACAAGTACTCACCGCGAGAGTCTCGACAACTCGACTACATTTCGCAGTTTACTTCAGACATACAACACATTTCTGGAGCTAACAATGTAGTCGCAGACGCTTTGTCTCGAATAAGTTCCTTGAACAGTTTCCAAGGAATCGACCTTCTTAAACTCGCTCAGCTTCAAAAAGAAGACATTGATCTTCAGCATGAGTTATCCTCGACAACTCTTAAACTAAGTATTAAGCAGATGGGAACAGGTAAGGAAACCTTACTCTGTGACACATCTACAGGTAGGGATCGTCCAATTGTACCAAAACACTATCGCCGCAACGTCTTCAATACGTTGCACAATCTTTCTCATCCAGGTGCTCGTGCAACAGTCAAACTAATAGCCGAACGCTTTTGTTGGCCTGGTATGAATAAAGACGTGAGGGAGTGGTCACGCTCCTGTGTAAGCTGTCAGATATCTAAGGTCATAAGACACAACAAATGTCCCTTAGGCACTTCCAAAACCCCTGACGCTCGTTTCGACCACGTCCATCTAGATTTGGTAGGACCCTTACCCGACTCGAACGGATACTCATATCTCCTAACATGCGTAGACCGTTTTACTCGATGGCCAGAAGCAGTACCGATTAAGGACATTACTGCTGAAACCGTGGCCCGTGCTTTCGTCGAACGATGGGTAGCAAATTTCGGCTGCCCTTCAACCATCACTACAGACCGCGGACGCCAATTCGAATCTGGACTTTTCCGTTGTCTGACCTCACTATTAGGAATAACTCGCTTCCAGACGACCGCCTACCACCCACAAGCAAACGGGTTGGTAGAACGTTTTCATCGACAACTAAAAGCTTCATTATCAGCTTCAAACGTTTCACAGTGGACAGACGCTCTTCCACTCGTCTTGCTAGGTATCCGCAATGCAGCGAAGGCTGACATTGGATACACGGCATCTCAACTCGTTTACGGAACGACACTCCGACTCCCAGGAGAATTCGTGGATCCTTCAGCTTCTTCATTGAACATTGATATAAAATCTTACACGAGTAGGCTTTCAAACGCTATGCGTTCAGTTAAACCTGCTCACACTCGACCTCAATCAACTGATGTTTTCGTTCAACCCGAATTACGACACAGTACACACGTTTTCGTTCGTCGAGACTCACATGGACGACCCCTCGAATCAGCATACGAAGGACCCTTCAAAGTTCTTCAACGCGAACCTAAGTACTATGTAGTCCATAAGAACGGTACGAATGATAGCATCAGCATCGATCGACTCGAAGCAGCGTACTTAGAAGGAAACCCTAGCTACGTCGAATTTCCTTCGGTACAATCATATGACATGGCTCCTACACTCGTAGTACCTCACACGACAGCCGACACACAACTTGATACTTCGTCAACATCGATAGGTAAACCTAAAACAACGCGTTCTGGAAGACGAGTAAGATTTCCAGAACATCTTAACGAATATTGCACGTAGGACATAAACTTTATCTTGAATTACCCTTTCATAGCTTATTATAAAAATTTTTTTAATATGCTCATTTTGTTTATTTATATAAAAAACAAAACAAAAAAGGACAAAACATTTTTATTTTTCCTGAGCGTATATATATATTTTTTTATATATAAAAAACCCAAAAATAGCCATTTTTTCCGATCGCTTTTACGCTGTTTGTAAGTGTATTAGTTTATTTTTTTCCGCTCATCTTGTGTCCTTACTCAAGTACGAGTGTATTTTCGACATGCACTCACGCGTTTTATTTTTCCTCTTTTCCAAGACGGCTGGAAAAGAACGACGAAGTTTCGCAAGGAACCGAAATTTTCATTGTGCTATATTTCTTTATTGCTATGTTGTACATTTTGGTCCCATAGTTTAAGGAAAGACGACCAGACGCTGCTAAACGAAGCAAGCTATCAGAAGAGTGTTTACCAACGACAAACTCGTTGGGTTTAAACTTCTGGCTGGTCACGTCTTAGGGGCATCACTACCTCACTAGGGGGGAGTGATCTGTAGCTGTAAATAATTCCCCAAAATCAATAGCTCATTAAGTGTTCGACATTGGATGCTGACCACGTTGTTTAAGTGGACTTGTTTAACTGAAGGCTTTCGGTCATGCATCCGTACCAGATCACGTTGCAACACGGCGTGGGACACAGCTCCTACGTTCATTAGCCAGCTTATAGTAAAGGTTCCTCGATATATTGGTAACGAATCAAATATATCTCTCCTACCTCTCCTCGTCTGACTTCTGGTTTCTATTTGACTGGGAACGAACGATTATAGAAGATACTACTGGTTGCTAGTTGCGAAACTAGAATATCCGTGTCATCCTCAACAGATTTTGATTTCCGGCCAACATCTTGATATCATTGTTATTTTCAATGATCATGTCACTATCACTTCACATAACAACCCCTTGTGACAACTTTAATGTTAAATTACTTCTTCGACTGGTCTGGTGTGATTTGATTGGCTGTGTTCTATGTTAATGAAGCAGAAACGCAACCCCTGATAGTTAGGGACGTTAGTTGTTGTAGGTAGTCTGTTGGTTGTATTTTTCCATCATTTTTATGAAGCGACTGTCTCATAATCTAACTACTCACTTCTGAGGAAAACTGAATTGATATATCCTCATTTCGCGTAAATCATCATTCGTCGCTTAATGTTTGACAACTATGCTGTCTCAAATACCTTCCTACGAAACAATCCCAAATCCAGTCAAACCAGAAGTCAAAAATGAAGGCATATAAACGTATATTCAGGTAAGGGTCAATGCACAAAATTGTAGACAAAATAAGTTGATTGATTTTCTTAGGAGATGAGTAAGACGGCGCACAAAATACTGACTTCTCAAGGCTTTAGATAAGAGTGAATGTTACTAGTTTATTGAACAACTAAAGCTTCTCAGAAAAAGGAAATACTTTTCCACAAAGCTTGAAATAAGAACTTCAAATCTTATCTTACTGTTTGCTTAGTTAGTCATAGCTACGACTTCCCACTCCGACCCTTCCTATTATAGTCAGCTTTATATACAACAAGATGAATTTAATGTTATAAATTTCCGTAACGTAAAACATCCAGAGGATGCTGACAATGGAAATGATTAAGTTAGCTAAGAAAGTATGAAATAAGTCTCCATAGAGCAAGAGACAGTCTCATGGCTTGATAGCTATAAGCCTTTTACTTATAGTAAGTTATTGAATTTGTTGTGATAGAAATCAATTACTGCGTTTTAGTGATCCCAGGATAATATACTTTTTCAAGGTCGTTAGGAGCCTAAACAAAATCATTACTGCGTAGGAGTTTTCGGTAGACTTTGATTTCGAATGCTTAAAACAAACGCAAAATATGTATTTTAGTTGTCACACTTTATCTTTTATATCCTTTTTTATTATCTGCAATGAGGATCATTGTAATTGAGGCCATCTGAAAATGGTATACAATAATGCACCACATGGTATGCAAAGATTATTGAATTATCATTATTCAGTTTAGAGTGAGTGCTCTATGTGACCCTCATAAAGACACTCTGTATGTGCTTTGACATTCACTTCTCAAGGCAACCATTGATTAATCTCGCATCAAAAGAGTGAACACAGTTTAGATTGCAGCCAAATTTCCGTATTTTAAGGAATTTCGTGATTTTCTCCGAAGTCAAATGTTCGCCCCCAAGATTTGAGGAAATTCTGCGGTTTTGTGCCAGTTTTACAAAAGTTTACGTAGCGGCCTCCCCAAAACTGATGAAAGTTTTCTCAAACTAGGGAGATTGGGAAACCATGTACATATCTACGATTTAACTTTATTGCCTTGAATGGTTGTTACTTACGTGCTTTGTTTCTACATGAAATTGAAAATTGCCTGGGCTAGGAGAGAAAAGAGCGGTTTTACCTTTTATCAACGTATCTCTAGGGTTATTCCTTACAAACGTAAATCCAAATAAACTAGTCTTTGATTTACGTTTGGTATTTTATATCAATAGATCTTTTAAGACGAAGTCAATTGATGAACGCCTAGAAACCCAATCTGCTATTTTTTAAGCTCACATTAAAAAGTAACAACTTCGCAGTTTTGTTGTTTTTGTGTCTGCCAGTTCCAAAATACTTGATGACACTACATCTTGTCTTTAAGTTTTCCATTTTGGCTAGCCAGAAGCATCTGTCCCAACGTAGTGAGCCACATTTAGATGTAAGCACCACCACCATAGAGTCATCAGAATAAAGCATGAGGTACAAATAACTTTGCTGCTGTTTCGGGTTTACCCAAGATAGCGGAAAATATAAAGACGCACAAATTTGAATACTCTGACTTCAATGCTTCTATTTTAAAGAACTGGTGACTAATCTAGTAGATGTATAACTCAATAGTGTATTTCAGAAACTACTTTAAAACCAGTGTATTTAGCATTGAGTCGTGTGCATTATGAAGGTAATTAATTAATCAAATCAATCGAAATAATGCTCAACTCTTGAAGAGAATTATTAATTGTAAAATTTTTCTTATATGTAACTATGTAAGGTCGTATCCCAATGTTTATATACATAATTTATTATGAACCGTCAATAATAAGAACAATAAGAGCTCTAGTGTAGTCATAACAACCAACCTTTTTCAAATGAAACTTCATTTTATATTATTTTTTTAGACTGGTGTTTTCCACAATATTCGAGTTTTAAATAAGTCTTATTGAGAGGTTTTTTCGATAATCAACGATAACGTGATAATTATTTGTTTATAATTGTCCCGTGACTTCGAAAATGTTTGTTGAATCATACGGAGATGAAGTTTCTCGTGTATTTACATTGGAGAAAAGTCAAAGTCGACAAATTAGCTCATTATTTGATCTACACTTATCATGGGTGACTTTAAAGGTTTATCACATGAAAAATTTTATAACATCTAATTTTAGAAGTTTTTTCTTCCTGTTGGATATCCATCTAGTGTTAGTGATGATTATTTAGAATACCAAATTTGGGATACTATACAGGCAGGTGTTTTTTTCATCACTAAAATTTCATTATTTAGTATACTGTTATGTTTTGTTGTTATAATAATTTGGTTCTTTAAGTCTTCAACACCTCTCTAGAATACGTACTCGACTTTTAAGAAGTCCTATTGGGTCGTGGATTTGAATACTTCTTCAATTATTATTAGTCTTTAACTCATTTACAAGGTATGGATTTACATACTTGGCTTTGAACAACGTCTGTTGTGGGGCTATGGATACTATTTGGTAGCTAAAACTTGAGTTGGTGTGACATTCGGTGTTAGGTGGTTGATTATAAGTGGATAGTCAACATGGTACTCTAGACAGCAAGGCGTGCCTGTAATCGGGTAGTTTTAATAGCCCTCACATAAACAGTATAGCTGTAAGCCAAATACATAATTCAGCTGTTGACGAATGGGTAGCAGTTAGACACAAAAGACTTTTCTTCTGAATGGTGATTCGGATGTTATCGTGTATGATAAAATTTATACTGAAGTAGATATTGCCATTCACTTTGGTTGCGTTATATTTTTATCAGTTATGCACTGTATAAAGTATTAAGGTTTATTTTTAAGCAATAACGCCATCCTTCAATATCATAGAAAACGTTTACAATGCATAAATTGTTCCTATATGTTTTATTCCTTTCTTGTTTACTGATAACATGTTAAATTTGGATATGTGGTTTTCGATCGATTCTTCATAACTGTACAAACACTATGTATAACCACTTTCAATCTACTTATCAATATACTTTGTTTTTAATGATCAGTTTATTAGTTTTTGGCGAAATAAGTTTAGACATACGAATATGAACCTGATTTATTTTGTTTACTATCCAAAGCACAAAATATGCCTGTTACAAGTTTTGTTTTCCTTAAGGTCAATCAGTTAGTCAGCTACAACGTAGGACCAGGCACATTTATGCATCGGTCCAAGTTGCCATACCTCGGATGCCGGCTCAGTAGTCTATCGGTTAAGTGCTCTGGCGCGAGACTGGTAGGTCCCGGGTTCGAATCTCGCGGGGCGAGGTCGTGGATGCACACTGCTGAGGAGCCCCACACTGCTGTTTTCCTTACATGTGTATACTATTCGCATGTAAAATCAAGATTTATGGAGTTTATTTTATTTTTAGAGTTCATAATTTCATTCATTTGTTTGTCATACTTATCGCAGGCCAACAATCGTAGTGTTTCTTGATATCAGGGCGGCCTTCGATTCGTTGGACAGGACTGTTCTCTGGGATTGTCTATTGAAGAAGGGTGTGCCTGAGAAGTTCATTAACATCTTAAAGGCCCTGTATACGAACACCTCAGGCAGAGTGAGGGCATACAACCACCTTTCTCCCTTGTTCCATTCAAGCAGTGGGGTTAGGCAGGGTTGCCCGATCTCCCCATTCCTCTTCAACTTTGCCATCGACGACATCCTAGAAACAGCTCTGATGGATGTAAGTAATGGCGGTGTGGATATGTTGCCTGGAGAACGACTTCTCGACCTTGAGTATGCGGATGATATTGTCTTACTGTGCGATAATGCCCAAGGCATGCAATCAGCACTTAATCAGTTGGCAATCAGTGTCCGCAGGTACGGCATGTGCTTTGCACCCTCCAAGTGCAAAGTACTTCTACAAGACTGGCAGGATTCTCATCCTGTACTCACCCTGGATGGTGAGCAGATTGAAGTAGTTGAGAAGTTCGTGTATCTCGGTAGCTATATAAGTGCTTGTGGTGGCGTGAGTGATGAGATCGATGCACGTATAATGAAAGCCAGAGCGGCTTATGCCAATCTGGGCCATCTTTGGCGCCTTCGTGATGTTAGTCTGGCTGTAAAAGGTCGGATCTACAACGCGTCGGTGAGAGCAGTTTTGCTCTATGCTTGTGAAACCTGGCCTCTCCGAGTTGAGGATGTTAGACGTCTCTCTGTGTTCGATCATCGTTGTCTCCGAAGGATTGCTGACATCCAGTGGCAACACCATGTTAGTAATGCAGAGGTTCGGCATCGTGTGTTCGGGCGCAGAGACGATAATTCAATTGGTGTCACCATCTTGAAACACCGACTTCGGTGGCTCGGACATGTTTTACGAATGTCGTCCCAGAGACTTCCGCGTCGTGCATTATTTGCCGACCCTGGGACTGGTTGGAGAAAGCGGAGAGGAGGTCAGTGTATGACATGGTGTCGTGGCATGAAAGAGAGCTGCAAAGGGCTAGCTTTTGTTGGTCCTTCACGACTCCCTGGTTGGGGTCCGAGAGATAGTGCAACACAGTGGCTAGAGACGTTATCGGATATGGCTCAGAATAGAAGCCAGTGGCGATCCTGCTGCAACCTTCTTTTACTTTCTACATAAAGAATGGTTCTAACTTTCCTAACTGAAAGAATCTTCTGGTTTTACATTTCAGCCCGCCTTATCTTTTCATCCTTTATCTACCTACTTTCATTATTTTGTGTGGCGCATATGTACCTGGTGCCCTTTTGTACCAATATATATGTGTTTAAATAAATAAATAAAATAAATAAAGTTTATTTTATAAAGATGTTTGTGTAAATCAATCTATAACAAATGATGATCGATAACTAATGATTTCGTAATTGTAGTGGCTAAAAGCTGTTTTTTTGCTATTTACTGTAAAGTATCTTACTAGGTAGAATAAGAGTAGGAATAGCGAACTGACATCAGGAATCTAAGATCAAGTCGTTTGATGGCACTTTCCTTTCCAAACTGCATGTTCAATTGTCGTATGATATTGAGTTGATTAAAAGAATAATAATATGGATTTAATTTACTGTTTTTGAATCACTTGATCGAAAAACGAAATAAAGGAATAAGAAGTACAGTGTGAAATTGAAATTCAGGAATTTCGGAAAGGTGAAGCATGAATGCATGCACATCACTGTGACTGGTTTCGAGATACCTTGTCCAGTTGGCCGTATCTTTCTTCATATCTACTCTTGGGCCAGCTAGCACTGCTGGTTAAGGTGGGTGGTTGTTAAGTATATGTAACACATCCCAGCGGCCTTATTCGATATAGAGTCCCAACGTCATACTTCGATTCATCGTCTTTACCTGGTACTACAATCATCAAGATTGATTATAACATCAGGTTGTAAACCATGTTCATGTTACACGAAAATAAAAGACTTCATTCTTAAGTGCAGGTATAATGGGTGAAAACTTTATTAACTTAAAGTGTTGTCCCCTGGTCTCAAAGAGCACTACGTAACTTTATTACAACTAAACTAAAAGTTCCTATTCGTTTAAGGTAAATTATTTTGGATTTCAGCTCAAAGATTTAACGAGATTGTATTTTTCTAGATAGTATATTTCAACAGTAGTACATCTGTCAGGATGTAACGATTAGTGATGAGAAGTGATCAGTGCATGTGTGGATAATGTGTGTTGCCTGAAGATGTTTTATTCTCACTATAGAGGAAATTTCAGCGAACATTTATTGAGATATACTGGAAGTTACAGCTCGTATAGTTTAAACACTGAGTTTCATACCAAAATTGACCGTACCTATACTCAGTATTTAACTGGTTGGAAATATATACATTCAAAAGTCTTTAGTCGCTGAACGAAGAAGTGGCATTAGTCTACGAAGTCATTGACTGTTGAACTAAACCTTGTTAAAAGTTACAGACTAGCCGCCTAGGGTCTAAGCGATTATCTTTACCAATGTTCAGGGCTGTTGAGCGAAATAGTTCAGAATCGGTTCCGGTAGCGTAGGTACATCCACCCGATGTCTTCCGTTAGATGTCAAGTTTAAAACTTATCTTACAATTTACATAATTTCATCCTATCTTATGGAATCATACTGCTCATTTTTAATGTTTTCTATTACCATTGATACTCCTTATACTTGTACTATTCGGGTGTTTTTTTTAAAGATTTCACCTTAGTTCGCTGATATGGTATGGCAACTTCTACCGATGCAAACCTGTACCAGGTTCTACGTTATTTACTACTGGCTAGCTGACTGACTGAGATTTTAGCAGTATATTTCTAATTTTCAGTGAGCATTTCGTTTTTATTGTTCCTGTACGATACGATCATCTTTAAAATTAATCATGACGTTAATTACGCTTTATAGAAAATATCCAAGTTTAAAACATCGCCGCTGTCTATCGCGAACTGACTAAAGCTGAGATCGTATCAGCGGTTCTAATAGTCAAGGATGCTCTTCATTACCCGATTACCCTATGTTCGACTTCAGGCAAAGTTGTAGGTGTATACTGTCAAATAATTCCATTGCTTCTTAGTCTTTAATGGTTATCCCAACTGAGATAAATTCATCATAAATGTTGTCTATATCCTATATCGTTGATATGATTTCATTTTTTTTAATTATTTTAAACAGGCATTTGCCAGCAGTATCACTGGTGCTCTTGCATCACAAGCTGTTTTAATCGGTGTAGGTGTTGGGGATTCATCAGCTACCATATTAAGTGCTAGTTTAACGTGGATGTTTAAAGGTGTTGTTCATTTGATTATTTTAAAATATTTTATAAAATTTCAATTTTTCTTTATTGATGGTTCGCTTTGATAATTGTATGTCTATCTGTCCATTTTCTTGTAATGTTTCAATTCCTCAATAAAACTCTGTAAACAATACAAACCGAAGTCTGTCATTGAAATTGTGAGAAAGTATCAATGTACACTTTTTTTATGGTTTGAATGATTTAATTGAAAAGCGTTGATAATCTTGTCCAGATAGAGGATGAATCTTCACCATTAAACTATTCAGCTCAAACAAACTCAACATTATCAAAACATCTTACTTACTTACTTACGCCTGTTACTCCCAATGGAGCATAGGCCGCCGCCCAGCATTCTCCAACCCACTCTGTCATGGGCCTTCCTTTCTAGTTCTATCCAACTGTTGTTCATTCTTCTCATGTCTGTCTCCGTTTGTTGTCGTAATGTGTTCTTTGGTCTTCCTCTTCTCCTTTGACCTTGTGGATTCCATGTGAGGGTTTGTCTTTTGACGCAGTTGAGTGACTTCCTCAATGTATGTCATATCCAATTCCAGCGCTTCTCTCTGATTTCTTTCTCTACTCCAGTTAAAACTCTTTTTTATCAGTTTATAATTTAAACTGTACTTTCTCTTTTTGTTTGTCTACCTTGGAAAGGCATCTTATTTAAGAGGTTGGTCGAAATTTTTATAGGTTACATAACGACATCTCTCACGACATTGATTATTCATTTCCACTAAAATATTTAATGTGAACAGTAGTAGATGTGAATATATGTATATATTCTCCCTAAGTGGAACAGTGATAAATGCAGTCATTAAATGAACATTGTACTGTGTTGTATACAATGAAGAATAACTGTTTAACTGTTAGAATTGAGGATGTTATCTGATTTTTGAATCCAATTACCTAATAGTTGTGTGAACTCTATTAATATTATCCTCTTTTTCAACTCATAATATGAAACATCCCTATACTAATTTGACATCTTCATTATTTACCATCTGGTACTTGAATATGTCTTAGATTAACAAGACTTTCTAAATAAGATATAAAGTGTTATCTGAAAATTTATTTATTCATTTATTTATTTGAACACATAAATATTAGTACAAGGAGGCACCAGATATATATGCGCCACATAAATCTCATTTAATTTGTGCGAAGGCTGTGATACTGCCCAAGTGCCCAGACCCAAGCAGGTGGTTTTCTTAGGGGGTCACACCCGGAGGCTTTTGACATAAAAGTCTGATCCACAAGAAAATGGAGAATCGTGAGGAGATGCAGTCCCATGGTAGCCGGTGACCAACAATTGATTCATACGCCATTTGTTCCCTCAGGATACTGGATCCCATGTTCACCATTGGTTTTGAATCAGGGTTTTCAAAATCCTTTAGGTGGACTTTCCATGTCCACCAACTCGGCTTTCGCTTTCCGTCCTCTCAATTTCATAAACAACACCCCTGCCACGGGAAGGTAGTGAGTAGGACTTCCCTTGCAGAGGTTATATACACGTGGCCATGTGAGAGCATTTTGAGAGGGAGAGCGGACTCTCCCCATTCTCGTCCGTACCAAGGCATTTGGGGGCGATATCTGAAAAATGATAAGTCGAAATAAAGTAGCGTTCATATCAACCTTCTTTTGGGTAACTGTTAAATATTTTAATTTCATTGTTTCTCCTAAACTGTATGATTTTATATTTTTCGGCAAATTATGTATGTAAATAGTTTTCTCAATTGTAATCGGGAATTTACTGACAGTCATACGTTATCTTATCGTCGAACGTTCCACTATTTCTAAAATTTCCTTTATTGTGTGACAGTCTACTTCGTGTGTGGGAGTATATCGATTTAAATATCACGAATATCAAGGTATAATAATAGAATGTCTGAGAAAACTGTTTCTATGGCATGAGATCATATTTTGTAAGCAAACATCATAAATTACTTTAGAAGATTGGCTTAGACAGATTTTAGCAGCATTGATCCATAACTCGTATTATTTTTTTTACTCTGTAACCCCATAAAAGCCCAATCCATGAGGTCCAAACGATAACTCAAAACGGATGTATATGGGTTAGGTTACGTGCCTAAACAAACACTTTCAGATGGTCTAATCCATCAATACTAACAAGGTTGAGCGTTTATAAAACTTTATACTATAGGGAATCGTATACGACTAAATTACTACAGTATTGGCAAATATTTAATTTGTTTGTCCAATAAATACACTAACTAAAGCTATGAAATATTTACTTCCTGAACTCGAGTAAATCATTTGTCTTTCTCCGCTCCGTCATAATACTAAACATTTGAAAGAATACACTCGTTTATTTGTTTAAAGCATTTCCAAAATCTTCGAAAGTAAACTAATTAAGGGATTTTGTTGTTTTACACAGTATTTTCAAACTCAAATGTTTGACTCTAATCGTATACCTAAACAGTTTTACTGAATTCATTTTACCAGCAATCGTCTGAACAGTAAATCGGCAATCAGAACTCAAATATAATCGAATATGTTCAATGTTTTTGTTAAAACACGAGATTAGCGTTTATTATGCTTTTCCATCATCCTTGCAATCATTACGGTTATCGGATGAACTGTTGGTCCTCTTGAAAGGAGCTGTTTTTGTCAATAGGTTATCTACAAAAGAACTTCAGCATTTTATGAATTTTTTGAGAGTTTCATCGAAACTCTTAGTTGTTTGATCCGTGTAATCATCAACTATAAAGATTAGAAAAGAGAATGATTATGCTTAGTCAAACTGTACTGTAAATTGTGAAGCTTATTGATGATATTATTATTACTATTTTTGTCCATTTTTGATTTTCCAGATGGTTCAGGTATGATTGGAAGAATTATATTCGCTGGTTATCATGGGTAGGAATTAATTAGTTTTTTTCCTAATTATAATACTACTTATTGTCTTATAGAATTAAATTAGACTGTGATTGCAAATTTTGGAGGTAAGCAGTTATGTTATGAACATTATTTGATATTTAAATCACTTATGTGCTCACTAGTGACTAGATTGGCGAGGTAATTCTCAAAGTTCTAGTGATTAACTGTGACTAGTGGAGTTTGACTGTGTCTGTTGTGAGGCAGCTATCCACCGAAGACGGTTGGAGATAGCGTCGCAGTATCGTGGATTGATTGAAGTCAAACATTAACACTGTTAAACGTTGACTCATTGGTCTGGAGGTTTAGCGTTCACGCTTAAGTCTGAAGGTTCTAGGTTCGGGTCCCACGCGCGGGATTGTCAGTGGACGTCGTTGAGGAGTCTCATACTAGGACTAAACTGGTGTCCAGTACTCCTAGGTTTTTAATGATGGTCTAACATTGTTCGATTTATAATCGAATTTCAACTAAGTAATAATAATTCTAAACGTCAACTCACGTTTGATCAGTCGGCCGACATGGATCTAACATAATTAGGGTATGAAATCACTTTCTACAATAGGAATATGTAAGTCAAATGACATTAGGGATATACGTTGAATTATGTGAATTAACGTGGCTAAAAGTAGAAAATGTTTTGACTATTCAGCTGTGTATAGTATCTAACAGTGTTTATTACAATACTGAACTTTTAAACATTATGTCTCAGGTTCGATATCCAATCCGTTTGATTCAGTTTCAGCAACTAAATCGTATCACAAACTTTCACACAGAACAATGCTTAAATGCTGGCTAACTGAGTTACACCAAACTACCAAATTGTTTTGGAGTCCTATATTAGAGTCCTCTAATATAACATCTAGCAGTGACATATACCTGTTGTATATTTAGTGATCGCCAATCAAATATTGGTTGCTTGAAACAGATAGTCGTGGTTAATTCTACTTTTTATTATTCATCAGTATGTATATTGAAGTAGTCATCATTTCTAGTTATTCTTTTTTTCTTTCTTTTACTTTTCTATAGATTTGTTGCTGATATCTTAAACGATTGTGCTTTATTCCTTGAAATAATTTCTCCACTATTCAATTATTTGTTCACACCGTTACTTTGTCTTGCTAATGTACTTAAGGTAACTCATATTCATTTATATTGGTTTGGATGTATTCTCTTGTCTACTATATCACTTTGCTGCGAAATTTTCTTTAAATTGTCCATAGAGGGTCGTACTATGAATTTCGATGGTTTTATTTATTATTATCGGGTGTTGTGGATATTGTTAAATGTTTCGGTATTGCACTACGAGCTTACCTTAGTTAGAGAACCATTTAAAATCAAGAATCACTGGGCACTTCTTTCGTCTTATTATAGAGCTCGTCTTTACACACCCTTGACCTCACCAGGTATCAACCCCATCACCTTCAAGCCTCGCTGTGACTCCTTCACATCCAGACTACTGAGTTTTTACCCAATGACTTCCATTTCTAATTCCATTCAATTTGTGACATTCTATTACCAACATCTGTTTCTACCTGCTTTGGTCTAGGTGCTCGAGCAGTATTCCAGTCCTCATACGAATCGAATGAAGAAGTCTGGCGCATATATATTTTATGCCTCTTTGTATCAGTGTTTATGTGTTTAAATAAATATCTGTTTCTAGTAGTGGTGCTTGTCCAACTGCCGATATGACGAATTATCTCTGCTTACATATTTTCACCAGAAAACTAGAAGTAACCGCTCGAAGTTTAGTTCTTTTTAAGCCTGTGAGTTGACTGAAGTTAGAAGTGTAATTTATCAAATGCCAACTCAGTAGTTTGAATGTTAAGAGCTCAGCAAGAGACCCAAAGCTTCTGATTCCAACCCTTAGTGAATTTGTGGTTGTGTATTCCTATAGAGTGTCACAGTGTAGTGTGGTCTACTTATATCCATATAAGTAGTATATGGTGATGAACAGACGTAGAATGTATTTTGGCAGAAGACCGATAAGGAGAGAGCCGAAATGAAGCGCAATTGGTAGAAAAATGCACGAACAATGAAATTAGAGAAGATGAACTGATATTTACGGAAGGAACAGTTAAGATTGAGACAATTGGTTGTTATTTTACAAATTAACTGTTTGCTGTATGGTTATCAGAATTTAGTGAGATAGTCTGTAATTTGTGCCTAAATACATTCGATTGTCCACACTCGTGTTCTTGTTTACTACAACAGTACGACGAAACAGCCGTTCAGTGCTTCCTGGTTTTCAGTCAAAACAAGCTATCCGCCATCGCGTTTCAAATTTCGCGCAAAAATCAAATAACCGCTATCTAAAATCTGATTAGTTCTCTTGAAGAGTATACTGTTATTCCTAACTCTGACTTTCTCGAGGTTTTATGTTGCCAATCAATCGTTCATACTACCTGGATTCTGGTTGACTGAAGGTTAACTTCACTTTCTCAAGGCTACCATAGGGCTCACTCAAGGTCATCACTGAAATATACTTTCATCAATACCTGATATAGGATTTTTGTACTAATATTATGAAGTCAAACTTTTGGTGAAATCTTTCAGTTTATCTGTGTATATTGTTATACATCAGCATCTTTCTTGTTTTAAATCACTTTGTGTCCTTTGAGATTACCTTACGGACCTTTACTGATTGATTATAATAGTATTAGCTTACGTGATTCTCTCAGATTATTGGAGTTATATCTACATTTATTTGTGATGAAGTTGCCGATAATCTAAATTCATCCTATTACGTACAGTACTATATATCTCCATTAAATCGCAAAGGTCATGATTTCAACTTCCTTTTTGTAACATTACTACTATAACACTGTCGATCTTATCTCCTTTTAGTTTCCACAGATTATTCAACACAAATCGATTTATCATGAAAACGGTCTTTTCGTTGAGAATTCATATTTCGAATAAAAGTATTCAACTTAGTTGGGAACCAGTTTATGGTTTATTTTATCCCACGTTACAGGTTGAGAGGAAAAAACACTTGAATGGATATATTAGATGTATATTTTCAATTTGTATGTACAGCATCGTTCACACTTTTAATTTTTTCATCATTTTTCTGAATGACCTAACCAGATACACTCCTTAAAGATAGCTTGTATCACGAACTAGTTTCAACTGTAGATAGTTGTTCAGCGGTATAAAGTCGATACTCTCAGTTTAAATCCTGATGACCCAATATCCGATTACTGGTCAGATTGTAGGTTTAAGTTTGTGAAAGGGTGTTGCACTAGGTATTCAATGGTTCACATTTTTAAGTTATCCGGGGATATAAACTATCAAATTTAATAATCATTACATACCTTCTATGCCAAACGTACATATACTTCATTTCTTTTAAAAAAAGTCTTTAGTTGGTGTCGCTGGTAGTGCAACGCGTGCAGCTATTGTTCAACATCAAGCGATCAATAATAATCTAGCTGATGTATCAGCTAAAGATGGTAGTCAGGTTAGTTTTATGCTTTCCATATAGTTTTATTTTACTTACAACTCTATGAATTACACCAATGAATTAGTTAAGATTAATAAAACTACTTTTAATTCAAAGCAATTAGTCGCTTTGATAAAACAATTAGACGATGGAGTTAATCTGAAAAGTATAGTATACGTAAGCTGTACATTTCCAACCATCTAGTTACACATATAATCTTTAAGGCATTTTATACGGAAACTTATAAAGATCAATTCGATAAAAGTTACAATAAACAAAAATTGATAATTGTATTGTTTTGTATGCTACTTATGTCGACGGACTTAAGTAGTATGTAACATCAATCGTAAGTGCGAAACCTGGCAGCAGAAGGCTAAGAAGATCGAGTTAAGAAGAATAGAAAGGAATTGTAAACTTGAAGAAACATGCGGAATGTGAAGGGCAAATGATGGAAATTCGCAAATGAAGTATTCAGTGTATGGTTCTCATATTTTACCAACATGCTGTGTAATTAGGTTGTACCCATCTGTGTTCTCGTTCACAACATTATGGTCATTCATCGCTTGTCAGCGAGATTACTCTGTTAAGTTGACGCATCAATGAAATATTAGTCGCATATGGTAGAATTCGGTGCTGATCAGTTATTAGATAGACCCGATCGCCCACAAACTATCTTACTTGTGAGGAAGAAAATAATGACCAATTGCCCTTTTTAGACACACTTCTGAGCTGAGGGAAAGATGGGACCATAAATCAGTCAGTTTATAGGACGGTGATCTAAACTTTTCATTATTTACCTACAGTTTTTGTCCGCTGCATCACAAACAAGGCTTGGTGAAGTAGGTCATCAACAGAACTTAACGAATATGCATTGCAGATGCGTTTGAAGAAGATTTGAAACTGCTGAATAAAACACTGATATTAAACGGTTACCCGCTGAATTTTAAAAATCGGTGTAAAAGTCAGTCCGTCTCTTTACCATTTATAGGAAAGTCAAAAACAACATAACTTTCAGATAGATAATAGAAGTAGCCATTGAGATAACATATTACACTGGTAATTTATCGTGACTGAAAAGTTAAGTCCATAATTCTACATAGTCCTAGACGATCACGTCACACCCCATTCTTTCTATATTATAATAATTTTTTTCGTTCTCTATTGGTCATTATTAAAGTTTATTGGAGCTGCCATTTAGTTGATCTTTATAAGTTTTAATATAAACCGCCTTGACAAGTATATATGTGACCAGATTGTTGGAAATGCACATCTTTATTATAATGCATTTTTCAGACCAACTCCTCATAGTTTTAATTTTGGTTCATCTTACCCAAAACCTCTGAAGTAATGCCATTAAATGAGCATTCACTCAATGAGATAACGTTTTGGTTGATACGCTAATGAAATGCTTAAAATACCTCAAATATATAAAGGGAAAAGTTTGTCTCGGGATTTAGAAGTATAATTAATGCAGTGTGAGTAGAAGATTGCATTTTGATGAGTATGTTATATCGTTTATTCATAGTAAACTTTCAAGCGAATCTTTCTCAATAGTAAGAAATTTTGTTAAGTATAAATGTCTAAACAGATCAAGATCTTTTTATGTGTAACCGTTAGATCATTCTTGCTTAATTTCACATTATTATTATAGCGTTGTAGAGATTGTTGAGTTTCATTGAGATCATGAATCGATCAATGTTAGAATACTATTGAAAACCTGAGAGTACTGAACGGTCGTTTAGTCCTGGTATATAGCTCCTCAACGATGCCCACCCACAATCCCTCACGCGGGATGTATATATATATATATATCGTGTTTTTTTCAGAATCACCATTTATTCAGCAACTAGATAACGCAATATGCACTTCACATTTTTATTATCACTAATTAGTAACATTAGTGCTTCCTCATATTCTAACATTAAACTTTCATATTAAGAAGTATTTATAAGTATTTGTGAATTTCCTGATTGAAAGTTGTTGACAATTATGAACAAGGGGTACCCACAGTTTCAAGAGAACTAATACGCTGTGTAATGTAAACCCGTACCATACATTTTCGCTATCTAAGGTATTACCAATGTGCTATTCGGGCCGACTGTAGTATTTGTTTTGACTGATAACTAAGTACTGACCAATTTCATATTTGTTTGGTCCTGTTGTAGTGATCGAACTTTGTCTATTAAGTAAGAATGTACCCACTAGTCCAAGTGAGAAACACGACATTGGTCAATTCTTAATAATCAATTACCATAATATATGACCTTATTTTGTATTATATTAGACTTGAGTAAATGTTGTTTTGCCTAAAATGTTGGTTAATTACCTTGTTTGGAGCTTAACCATCGATTTCAAGTTATAACTATTTAACTACTTACTGCTAATGTGCAGTAGTTCAAGTGATATTCACTTGAATGCCATCCAAATCAGTAGTGTTTGTTTATATTGATTCTTTGAGTTAATTTACTATTAAGTATATGTAACATGTAAGTTCACAATGTCATAGTCAATCGATTTAATCAGTAATGTATTATAGGGTAAGAAAAAAGAATCACAGTTTGAAATGCCGTGTTTTCATGCTGTTGCTATGGTTACAAATAACTCTATCCATCGGTCTTGTTTTCATTCTATTTGAATCATAAGATTTGTGTCCATTTATATAGTAATTGTATGCATTCATTGTAGTTACTTTATCATAGTAGTATATGGCATAGAATATTTCGTAACAATCCACCTTGAGATTAGTAAACGACTGTTTGCTTCCTCAGTATTTAAAGATTATTGAATTATTATCATGTCAGTTCATTGAATGCGATCTTCAAGAGATCTTCATATTAGTTGGCACTCATCATTAAGGTGTTTACCAACGAGTATGGATACTCCTTCCAAAAATACTCAAAATCAGTACCATTCGGTGGTATTGAGAGATAAATGTAACAACTGAGCTCTTCATCATTAGAATCTGATCAGCACTAAGAATTAACCAACATCAGTCATACTACTTATGTATCGTTTTCGATGGAAATCTAATTAATTTTAGTCACCATGATTCATTAATGTAATTTGTTTAGCTTTTAGGTTGAATAATAAATTTTTCCAGCCTGACAACAATGCCGAGTTTAGGTGTGCAGTTTTAGGCGAAGAAAGAAAATCAGTTGATAGGACTGTAAATTTTCATCGACTGAAGTTTCTGAGACATGTATTACACATGCCCAGCCACTTCAAAAATCGATGCTCAGTCTCAAATGGAGTAGGAGTAGTTTGGATGAAAACTAAGGGCACCCAAACATTAGTCCGTCGAATTATTAACTGAGCCATGGTCGATTCAGACTACCTGGTTACAGTCTACACCATAGCTATGATCAATCAGTGGTTGTACATTTTGGGTTAAAATTGAATGGTTTTATTCACTGATTATCTGGCGAAACTATAATTTGCGAACAAGCCAAGCAGAAGCGTTTGAGGGATTTCAATGTCATGGCGCCAATTTCAGTACCTGATGTTCATGTGCGATTGGTTCACAGAGGATTTTAGAGTAGACTTGACAATTAAGCGGCTACAATAAATGGGACTACTAAGAAGTTCTTTTATTTGTAATTGTGATAATTAAATGACTTGAAGATCTTGTGCAGACTACCGTGATATTGTCCTTCGTTGTAACATATGTTGGAGGAAGATGTTTGCTAGAATAGGAAGCTTTTTGGCTCGATCCAGATTGAGACTAAGGCATATTATAATAATTGCCACGAACTGTATAATAAAAGCACCAGTAACATTGACTTAAATGATCGCAGATGTTACTGAAACTTCAGCTGTTCAGTGTTATGAGTGTTGTAGGAATATATCCATAATAATATTGATAAACTTACGCAACCGGAGTACACACGAACAATAATGAAACTATGTTGTCGAGGCTGACAGGGTTTATGTGACCTTATCTTGGCTCCAGAGACTGACTATTATGGAGCCATATGGATGAGTTCCTCTACCTTATGCATTACGATTTTAGAACCTTTGAACCTCTTTCTAACCTTGACAAAGTTTTGGACCATATAAAAGAAGTGTATCCACTTTCATTCTTTGGTTTTGTATAACATATTTTCGCTTTATACAGACTGTTTACTGATTGGCTAATGTTTCTCAAGGTCCTTTGAGATTCGTCCAAAAGTCGTCAATGAATTATAGTCTTGCCATTTATCTTCTCCAATATCTTGACTTCCAGTGTTTCTTAATACATACCTTCTTTTTATTTCTTTTTAAACCATATAATCAATCTCTAGTCTTTCTTCTTATCACTTATAGTACTATTGTTTCAACTTGTTTGTTACTTATTTTGTTAATACGGTATAAAAACTTGGTTTAATGCATATCTATACCAGAATCTAGGTTCACTAATGACTGGTAGTTTTATTTATTGTTATTTATTTAAACACATAAATATTGGTACAAGGAAGCACCAGATATATATGCGCCATACAAATCTCATTTAATTTGTGCGAAGGCTGTGATACTGCCCAAGTGCCCAGACCGAAGCAGGTGGTTTTCTTAAGGGGCCACACCCCGAACCTTTGACTTAAAGATCTGATCCACAAGGCAGTGGAGCATCGTGGGGAGATGCAGTCCCATGGTAGCCGGTGACCAATGGTTGATTCATACTCAATTTGTTCCCTCAGGATACTGGAACACATGTTCACCATTGGTTTTGAATCAAGGTTTTCAAACTCCTTTAGGTGGACTTTCCGTGTCCACCAAGACGGTTAAAGCGCGGACATTTGCTTTTCGTCTTCTCAATTTTGTAAACAACAGTAATGCCACGGGAAGGTGGTGAGTAGGACTTCCATGCCAGAGGCTATATACGCGTGGTCATGTGAGAGCATTTTGAGAGGTAGAGCGGACTCTTCTCATTCTCGGTCGTACCAGGGCATTTGGGGGCATGACTGGTGGTTAAACTCTTTTTGATGTGTGCCTGTTATAATCTTTCCAATCTATATCTCACATACATGAATATATTTACAGGTTAGTTTAATTCTTTTATACATATATCACATAGACAAAGGTTTATTTTGTTAACATTGTTTTTTTTTTTGTTCATATAGGAAACCTTGTCTAATTTGATGGCATGGTTACTTAATTTTATTTTGTTATATATGGTGACCGGTAATCAGTTGTAAGTGATCTTACAAAATTTTTTTCCTGTTATCTGTTTATTCCACATTGATATGGGTGGGTGTTGAAGATTTTCAAAATTCTATAAATTTCCAATCCAACAAACTAATTAGTTTTTTTAATGATGAGTGATTGTGAAATTTGTTGAATTTTGTAGTTTTACATCACAGATTTACTTTGATTAGACAACTATTAGAAATGAAGAATCGTTCGACAGCTATCTCATTCTAGTGTGGAACTCCACAGGAGTGCATGGCGTTAAGAGCTGACTCTAGAACTTTCTCGGGTCTTGCGTCATTTCTCTAACTTTATTAAATTCGTAATACTTCACGATTAACACTTGTTACTACTGATGATATTTGTCTGAGCATCGACATGACTAAACTTCACTGGCTACAGCTCCTCGTCAGAACCTAGATTACTCCATGATGTAGTATTACGAAACTAGTCATCCATTTATTTTAAATCATGATAATTTAATAGTAATAGAATCAGACGTTAATAAGACCGAGTTTTTCATCACAAATCAACATTATCTTAAAAACTAGGTAGTTATGACGATGTGTAGTTGATGAATGTTAGGTGCGGTTGACCACCTAACATGGACATATAAACATCTAGCTTGTGAATATTTAATGTGTAATTTCCTTCCCGTTATTGATTTCTGTTCTGAACTCAATGAATGTAGACTGCTTTTTTCCTAATTTTTGGTGAATAATTATGTATCTGTCGCATATCGTGATTCAAGTCTGTGTATAGAGTATCGATTGAATATCTAGTCTATGGTAGTAAAATCTCAATTACTTATTGTATAATAGTAGTATATCGTGTTAAACAGAAAATATTTTTATTTTACCATTTTGTCAACTAAATAACTGATACATTCTACTGTAATAGTTTAATAGTTCACAGCTTTGACATACGACAGACTAAAATAATTCAAGTTTCTTAACGAATAGAGTATCACATTGTGCAATTCCAACGGTCCATAATCTTCAATCTAAACTGACTAACAATACAACACGACTTTTATCTACTAGTGAATTGTATAGTCTCTTATTGTATTAGTTGCGTGATGAAATGTACATCAGAATCGAAAATATATTCTGAAATCCAATAATATGTAACATCTCACTCAATTGTTGAGTTAGAATTTGTTATATCTTGAACTTAGATTCTTAATATGTCGCGTATAACTTGAGCACTCGAATGCTATGACCTTTCCAAGTCGCACAGAAGACAAGTGGAAGGAATTTTATTCCAAACAGAGTCAATTATGAGCAAAGATGGATAGTGGCCAGCAGTGGAATCCAGGACGCTCGCTTCGTCCTATTCCAGACTCGTCAGCTGGATGTACCTGCATCTCAGAGTTGATGTTCACTCTGGGACTCAAACCTAGTACCGTTCGCTTCAAACGCCATCACGTTATCCACTCAGCTACTGAGTCCTGATAGCCACTTGCTTGTGAAATAGGGTAAAGTTTAAAGTCACTTAATATTGTTTGTTTGAATCTTCCCATCGATGTTTAGGATTCCACTGCTAGCCACTATCCATCTTTGCTTAACATGTTTGTGAATTAAGGCTATATTGAGGCAATAAGCACAGTATGCACATATGCCAATAAGAGACTGACCAGTTCCAGTCCTAAACATCAATGGGAAGATCCAAACAAACAATGCTAAGTGAAGTGTCAATTATGGTACAAAACTGTCAGGTATTTATAGTTATTAGTAAAAACAAAATCATCATTATAGTTATCTAATCCGCACACAAAGGGTTATTAACATTTGTCTAATAGGGAAGCTGCACGTAGTGAATATTCTTTCAAAAGCCGATTGGATGGAATATGTTCAGCTCCTCCTGAGCTTCCTCAAGTTCACCTGTGAACCGTCCTCACAAAATGCATGAAAGGATTTGATAGATACTTAAAAGAAAGAAAGAAGAAAAGATAGCATTACATAATTATGTTAAACGTTATTGTGAATAATTCTGTTCCTAGGAAAGTCTAAACTTCCAAAGTTACATAAATGTTTTGGAAATTGTAAGTCACCTAGACCATCAATCCTTTTCAAATGAAGCTCCGTTTTCGTTGATTTCTCAATTATTTTCTCCATATTTTCATTCTTTTATATTTCAGTCTTATTTGGTTCTGTTTTATTTGTTGCACTTCAATACATTTATATTCAAATTATCGCGCTGTAAAATGTTTAAAATTACGTACATTCAATCGTACACGTTTTCATTTAGCTATACAACAATGGTTTAAACAACAATTTAATGATATTCAATATTCAATGTTAATGTCAAATAATATTGATAATATAAACAAAATACCTAAATATCTTTTAATGAATCAATCATTTCCACATGTTATATGGGTTAATGAATCTGAACCTATTATATATAAAACTGATCAACCTATAATTATAATGGGTTGTTCATTGTATAAATTACCTATTGAAGGGTAAGTTTTCTTTGGATGTGGTTTTAAAGTCTTACTTAGCGATAAGTAGTTAATAGAACACTCTTAATGTAAGTTTTGCACTATATCTTAACCTACTGTAAAATATTAGGAAATAGCGTTTACGTAATCTAATTTCATCACTGAAAAGTAGCGATTTTTTCGGTGAAATTATTTGCCTACTAATAGTAGTATGTAAATAGACTCACAAAAAATCACTTCATTGTTATAATGTGTCAACACTGTGTTTTCGCACTAAATAATCCATTTAGTACCCTAAATTGTGTTTTCGTCCAGCGCAAAATTTTTTAAAAGTTTTTTAGGTGTAATATAGTACTCAAGTGTTTTTGAATTCTCCAAACGCCCTGGTACGGCTGAGAGTGGGGAGAGTTCGCTCACCTTCTCGAAATGCTCTCACATGACCACACTTATATAGCCTCTTCCATGGAAATTCTACTCACTGCCTTTCCGTGGCATTACTGTTGTTTACAAAATTGAGAAGACGAAAAGCAAATGTCCGGCTCTTTAACCGTCTTGGTGGAAACGGAAAATTCACCTAGGGGAGTTTGAAAACCCTGATTCAAAACCAATGGTGCACATGGGTTTCAGTATCCTGAGGGAACAAATTGAGTATGAATCAATCGTTGGTCACCGGCTACCATGGGACTGCATCTCTTCACGATGCTCCACTGCCTTGTGGATCAGACCTTTAGGTCAAAGGTTCGGAGTGTGGCTTCAGTTTGGGCACCTGGGCAGTATCATAGCCCTCACACAAATCAAATGAGAATTATGTAGCGCATACATATCTGATGCTTCCTTGTACCAATATTTATGTGTTTAAATAAATAAAACTCCATGGTGAATTGTAGCATTATCCGTTTCTGCATAACTATAAACATTTTTTGTGTAGATAATACATTTCAAATGTAATATACTTATCTGTTGTTTATTTTCTATTACTCTACATATGTGTCTATAGACAGAAATTGCTGCCTAATTTGATACAATTATGTGAAAAATACAATTACATTTTGTACTGTCCGAATTGGGAAGCTGTTCAACAAGGTTTGTGATTGTTTTTCTTATCAGCTGTTATAGTGAGAACATGAGATGAAATGTGTCATTGATAAACTGTTATTTTGATTCTTTTAATGAATTTATGTTCTCTGAATTAGATCATTTAATCATGAGGCTCTGGTTTCTTCCTCTAGACAACATCATATTTGAAAAAGAAGTAATCTACACAATCGACTAATAACTTGTTCTATTGGCCTGAAATTTGATAACTATTGTAGATCATCAACGTTAATGATCTATGTCTAATGATTGGAGGCCTACTCGAGTAAAACGGGAAGGGTCTAACGAACAAGCTAACTTCGAAGTCACACCTCGAGACCAGCACCTTACGTGGATTGCCCCATCGACGTATCAAGGGACCATGGATGCTCTGAAGACTGTGCAACACAAAAGACGTTATTACAGGAATATATTAGTTTAAGTAGATACAAGCGAAAGTAGAACCACTGCCGCATGGGCCAGTCCATGGCGTATGAATAACTGATGCGCGTTGATTGTCCTTGACCTTGGCGGGGATCGATGATCTGTTCTATATTCAGTGACCCAACTGCTGGATGATTTGGCTAGGGTTCAGTGACATTTCACTGGCCCTACATTATCCATAATCTTGTAGCAGTTGTCTGGATATTTATTTCAATTGTCTTATCCTATGGCTTGAATTCTAACCTTGCAGTTGTTCATCTTCTTTCTCATTGGTTTATTGATTGTCTCGATTCTGATATACACAATCGAGGTGCTCGATTTCCATCCTATACCACAGATAACAACTGCTTCACTCTCAGCATTTCTGAACTTTATCAGTCCTTATAGACATTTTTAATTAACTCAAAGCCACAATTTTTAAAAAAATGGTTCAGAGGGGGTTTTGTGGAGAATTTTAGTATTTTCGTAGTTGAAATCATGAGTCAATTGAAGCTAGGCCACCGTGGAAAACCTGGAAGCACTGGACGGCCGTTTCGTCCTACCGTGGGACTCCTCAGTAGTACGCACCCACGATCCCACCTTGCGAGATTCGAACCCAGGATCTATCAGTCTCGCGCGCAAGCGCCTAACCAATAGACGACTGAGCCGGCATTCAATGGTGTTAATGTCTAAATCATGATCTCAACTATATAAAATTACTAAAATCTCCACAAAATCCTCTTTTCATATATGTTTTGATTTGTAACTGTATTGTCACTGGTTGATATAGAATATATGGAATGTGACTAGCAGTGGGATTCAGGACTTGCGTATTGTTTTATTTGAGACTCGTCATCAGAATGCACCTGAATCTAACATCAACTCTTGGATCCGAGTACATTCGGTTGACGAGTCGCAAATTGTTATTATCATTATGGATATATCAAAGCAATTAACACAGTATGCCAATATGCCAAGAATGATAAAATTTCAGCTCAAAATATTGATAACAGGATAATCCAAACTATTTCAAATTAAATTATTTGTTGTCACTTATTGTTTGTTTGGCTTGATCTGCTCATCATTAGCTATTAAACTTAGTTCATGTATAAAAGTGAGCGTGATATGATAACTGGCTGGCTGACTTGAGTTCGAAACTTTTAAAAATCTCTCTATATTTTAAGTTTTTCTAACATCTATTGAAATCAGTCAGTCACAACTTAGAACATTGTACGTACGTACATCAGTTCGAGTCGCCATACCACATTAGCACAGAGAGGAATGTTGTGTCATTTTATCACAATTGTGGATATTAAAGTATCGTATGTTTCGAGAGATTCGATATATTGGTGAAAAAAAGAAATATTACTCAGTAAATTGTACTATAGACTGGATCACTTGATAACATACTCATGATACATTTCAGTTCTGTGGATCGAATCATTAGGAATACAATTAAAGACTCGTACGACTTCGGTTTATCGTAACGAAGTAAAGAAACTGATCCACGTTAATTGATTTGCCATTAATCCTGTTATATAGTTTAACCTCGTTCAATCAGCTTGTTGTATTCTCCGATGTTCCAATTGTCATATAGTTCAAAGTTAGATATCCCAATCGGTTGGCATGTATTTCTGTCTCACAGTAAATCTTATGTCTTTTTGATATAATTTTTGTTTATGACTACTGTAGTCAGTTGTTTCTTCTGAACTTGGAATTTCTCAGTACTGCATACCAACCGTCGCATATACGAAGCATCATTATTAAGATTGTTTCATTGTAGCTCAGATTGAAAGAAATTAAAATTGTGGACCATAAGATTTTGACTTAGTGGTTTAAATGATGTCAATGATCATCTCTAAATGTGAAATCTCTGTAATTTAAGATGACCATTGACTTATTGAGTCTGTAGTTGATCAGAGTAAGAGAAGAGGTTTTGGCAGAAAATTACTAACTCAATAAACTACTGGAAATTAATTATTTACTCTTAAACTATGACCAGTTTAAGTGAGCGAAAATTGTGCGATTTACTGTTTTAACCATATCTTTGTTTAACCAGACTATAAGGTGTTCACGAGCACAAAAACGTGAATCTCTTGAACGTCGGTCAGTATAAGTCGCTCCATAGTAGTTGGACTGATAAATACAAAATAACGTGACGTCTCTAGGTAGTTCATTTTTTTAATCTTGATGTCATAATTGGTTGCGTTAGAAATACTAGTCGTAGTTTTCCGGGGTTGAATGTTCTCTAGATTGTTCTATGTACACTATGGATCAGTAGTTTATTAGCTGTCTTGCCTCTAAATTGTTGGCTTATGAACAGGGATTTCTTATTCATTGTTTGTACTTCTTCTAACTATTGCGGTCATAAATTTGCTTATAAGCTTTCTGTTATACCTGTTTTCCTTAAGAGTATCACTCAAACTCTTTGACTTTCTTCAATTATTTCAGCAGAGCAAATAACTATAACTAGGTGTTTTCATTAAGTTTTTTTCACACATCATAAGTACAAAGTTAAGGAAATTTGTCTACTTCCCTATCGAAGTACTTTGTTTCTTTTTAGGCAACTCAATAATCCCATTGACAATGTATATCGTTTTATTTTCTGAATCGAAACCTTTGGATCAGCTCAAAGCTATGCTGCATGTAGAATTGATAGCATTCATAGTAAAGGTTAGTTTTGGTCTAATATTTGTGATTATATAGCTTATACTACAGGTTTGTTCTAACTAGACAACCAATGATCACTGGATAGCTGTTTTGTTGTGGTATGGAACTCCTCACCGCCAATGAGCATCCACGGCCCTACCAGTAGTCGAACCCAGGATTTTCAGATCTAGGGGGAATATGCCTAACCTTCAGATCACTAAGTCAGCGTCCGATAGTTAACATTGTTCGTTCCAGTCAATTCTCAATATTGCTCATTCATTACTTAATTCTATTTATAGGTAACTGTTTCACTTCCGAAATGGTTGAAATACATAGGTAATGGCTTCTTACTAGAACTCTATATGGTACTCTAATGATTTGTTCTCGTTTACCATCAGATGAACATGATAAATTTAACGTAAGAGCATAGAATACCTCTTAACTTACTAAGAAAGAGTGCTACTGAGATAGTGGAGAAAATTAGTAGCTCAGATGGGTGATTTTGATGTAGGTTTGTTCTCTGAGCTGGATGGTTTGGTGGTGGAGCTTTCATCGTCCTTCTGAACGACATCATCAGCCCAAATCTCGGGTAGAAGTGAAGTGTTTGAATTTCTCCACATGTGATTCATAGCTCGTCCTGTGCATCTCGATGTTGATTGGTTATTATTGACCTTAAATAGGAGATACAACCAAAACAAAGAAATAAACAATGACACATTTAAGGTCGATAAGAAACAACCAACATCGAGGTGCACAGGACAAGCTGTAAATCACATGTGGAGAAATTCAAATACTTCACTCTACCCGAAGTTTGTGCTGATGATATCTTTCAGATGAACGATGAAAGCTCTACCACCAAACCATCAAGCTCAGAGAACAAACCTATATAAAAAAGAGTGCTATTTTTGGGAGAAAACATTTTAATTGTGGTAATGAAATCCAACGTCCGGACAATGTGAGAGACAGGAAAGACCAGTCAAATAGCAATGTAAATGAGGAGATACAACTTGGCAGTACCCGGAATCAGCGAAACCCATTGGACACAAACTGGACAACAAAGGCTAGGTACAGGAGAGGTGCGTTCCATGTACCTATGAAGAGTGTTGCTCTGGTTGTTAGAAGGCGCATCGGTCTCGTGACTTCCGAAGAATTTTGGCTTTCATCATGAGACATCATAATTATTCCTTCAACTCCCAGGGCAGAGTTTAAATGGTTTGAATTATTTTTTCTGGTTAGCGTTTTTTAGCGAGTTAGCCCTGGGATAAACAAGGAGGATCGGATGCAGATGTAAAGGCGAGGATTGGCAAAGCAAGGGCAGCATTTCTACAATTGAGGAACGTATGGAACTGATAACAACTGTCAACTAACTTCAAAGTGAGAATCTTCAATATGAACGTCAAGACATTCCTACTGTACGGAGCTGAAACGTGGAGAACTACTACGACCATCATCAGGAAAGTATTAGTATTTATAAACAGTTGTCTATGCAAAATACTCAACATCCATCGGCCGGATGCTATTAGCAACAGCGTTTTATAGGAGAGGACAAACCAGCTTCCAGCTGAAGAGGAAATTAGGAAATGACGCTGGAAGTGGATTGGACATACATTAAGGAAATCCCCAATGTGCATCACGACTCAATCCCTAACTTGGTATCCTGAAGGGAAGCGGAAAAGAGGAAGGCCAAATAACTCACTACGCCGGGAAATAGAGGCTGATATGAAAAGGCTGAATAGCAACTGGAAAGAACTGGAAAGGAAGGCTCAGGACAGAGTTGGATGGAGAATGCTGGTGAGCGGCCTATGCTCCTTGACGAGGGGTAACAGGCGTAATTAAGTAAGTAATTTAATTTAAATTATATGAATCCATAGTTATCGCAGAACCCGTCAAGTAAAGACATAAATCCAACTTGGCATACGACATCGGGTTGGCAATATGGAATAAACAAGATAAGGAGAAAAACTTGAGATTAGGTAACCAGCTAATCTGAACTTACCAGCATGGCTCACTTCACGGCTTTATTTTAAGTGCTCTTAAATTTCGTCCTACCTATTTTCTCACTCCATTTGAGATTACACATCAATGTTTGGATTGATCGGACATACATGTGTACCAGTGATCTCATTCTGTAGAGTTTCACTACTTCAATAATTGATTTACTTTTATTTGGTATTCTACCTCTAACATCAGCATTGGCCACTCTGTTGTTCCATGGTATTATTCAGAAAACTCATGAACAAATATAGGAGCAGGAATGAGGTCAAAGGGAGATACAATCAAAATGAAGAGGTAGATAATGACATGTTAAAGGTCAATAAAATAACCAGTCAAGATCCAGGTCAACGAGACAAGCTGTGAGTCATATGTGGAGAAATTCAAATACCTCCCTTATACTTGGAGTTTGTGCTGATGACGTCGTTCAAGAGAAAAATTAAATACTCAAAAACCAAACCATCCAGCTCAGAGGAAGAAAATCCACCAAAAAGACTGAGCGAACCTTCTGAGTCTATCCCGAGATTACTTCAGCCACCGGCACATCAAGTTTGATGAAATCTTAACAATATTTAAGATCAAGACAATCCTAAAGTATTCGATTTGCAAAAGTGAAGCGATTTTTATTGTTGTGTATAAATGGTGTGTTGAAGACAATCTTAAAGGGGCTTGATTTTTACTGGACAATGGTTTGGTTGATCTTTATGAGATAATGTTACCCCTGTTTGCACAAATCAACCCGTATACAATTTATAAAGCGTTATTTATATTCATTACCATGTACATCTCGTAATACTTATTACATCAATACCAATCAATATTGGAGTTGTGATATATTTGTTTCAGCACTGAACTCTATTGTCCATGGAGCAGTTACTTAGCAGGTTTAAAGTTCGAATCCCCGCTCTATCGACCTCACTTTGAACAACGAAACAGTATTACATTAAGCCTCATGCTTAAAATGTGATTTAAAATCAAGTAATTGGAAGTTGTTATGGATAAACTGATGATACGCTATGTCCGAGGTTGATATTGATACACAAACTTCCTATGCGCAAGACCCCAACCAGTTACTGAGTGAGAAAGCTAAGAGCAGTAAAAGAAAGGTTAAACTGAATCACATTTATAAACACTTATTTATATAAATATATACTCTTTCGAAAATAAGTCTTTATTGGTCAATCACCGGCACATTTCGTTAGGAGATTTTTGATTAGCACAATGTGGCCTTTTCATCTAGCGACTATTAATTAGCCCACATTATCACCTTACCATCCTGAGAAATAGTTCCAGTTTCTTGAATTGAATACTAGTGGGTGGCCCATGCTCCTCTGCCGCAAGAGGTAACAGGGGAACAATCCGTTTTCAGTTCCATAAAATTAATCTTATTAAATGCACACTAATATGACTTTGATGATATTGAAATCTGACTTTCATCTAATAAACTCAACTTCATTTCAATATACTTCTGGCTGAACAAAAGCTTGATCAATACATAGTATGATAAAAGTACATAGGTGGTAACTAACTCATAGTTTCGTTTGTTCTATATGACATAAGTATTTTCTTGTATAGTATGCTTGGTTGAATATGATTATTGTCTACATTTCTGTCAAGTTCAAACGTGCTCTGAATGTTTGCGTATGAACTGGTTATCCTATTGTTCTACTGGAAACTATTTCATATTATGTTATGTCTTGGCTCATAACTTTTAGAATAAACTGAAAATACATGTGATTTTAATTTTACATTTATTTGTTTAAACACTTAAATCTTGCTACAAGAAGGTACCAAATACATATGCTTAAAACAAACTATTCGACTTGTATGAAGGCTCGGACACTGTCTGGGTGCCCAAACTAAAGCAAGGAGCCACTCCTCGAGCTTTTTACTTATTGGTCTAATCCACAAGACAATGGAGCAACGTTAGGAGATGCAATCCTATGGTATTCGGTGGCCAACAATGGGTTCATATACCATTTGTTCTTTCGGGATCCTAGAGTACATGTGCACTACTGTCTTTAAATAAGGGTTTTCGAACTCCCATAGGTGGATCCTTTGTACCCACCAACTCATTTTAATCTTCTTTTGTCTTCTCAATTTCGTAAACAACACCGCCACGAGAACGATGTGAGTAGGACTTCCATGATAGTGGATGTATACGCGCGGCCATGTGAGAGCATTTGGAGTGGGAGAGCTGAATCTCTCCACCGTCGGACATATCAGGGCATTTGACTTTACAAGTAGATTTTTTACTATAAAGTAATTCGAACCAATGGACTTTTAGAGGATTTTCAACATTCTATCTATTTGATTCATATTGTTGTTGTTTAAACATGTTGACCCGTTGTGTATTGAATCTATGTGAATGGCTTCATCATGATTATGGGTCATTTTTAGATGATTAACATACGCATCGTTACACACGTATTCCGTTGGCATTACCACATGTCAGGTTATTGTTTATGAGGATTAGTTTACTATAACCATTCACTAATTTAATGACGTCATGTTTGTCAAGTTGCGATAGAACCACTAGTCTAAATTATTCAACATCGTACGCACTATGTTTGGATAGTTGAATGTGGTCAAATCCTACGGAGATCATCAGACCCTTCAAAATTGCATGTGCACCATGTTATCGAGTACCAACTAGCGTGAAACCTATTTCCACAGTTTTTTGCTGACTACCTCCGACTAATTTATATCATAAGATAAATTCCATTGTGAATGATAACGAACTTCACTCTCGTGACCATTAGCCATCAGTGACAGTAAATAAATACCTCAATGTATCACAAATAAATAAAAATTGGAGAACATGTGAACCATATAAATCGAACTAAACAATTAAAAATGTTTGTTTGGGAAACCTGAAGATACCTGTTTTAATCCTATATGTACTGTCGTGTTTTTACGTATGAGTTTCGAACTATGACATAATAGATTAATTGAAGTTAATCCATGTTGATGAAGTTTCACTACTTCATCAATCGATTTGCCATCCTTACTTAGTACCCGTTTCCTAACAACTGCATTACTTACTCGGTGGTCCAACGATATACGAGCAATGCTTCGAAGACACCTATGATCGAATATTAGTAGCCTACGAATATCCTCAACTATTATCGACCATGTTTCATAGCCATAAAGTAGGACGGAACGACTGCTGCGCAGTAAACTTGTTGTAAGGACGGCCCGTCGGTAGACTCTCGGAAGCCCTAAGAAGCCCAGGAAGAGCCGCAGACATTCCATCCAATCACGGCTAGGGGAATGTTCTAGAAATGCCAACGTGGAGCTTCTCCATTGGATGGATTAGTTTGAAACCTATGTGCTTATTGGTTGACCTAAATGATAATTTATTTTCAGCCAATAACTATAAATACACGAGATTCCTGTGCTATACTTTGACACTGTTCGGGGCAATAAACTTCCTGCTTACCAGTCTTTGTCTTCTCTCTTTTTGCGACGTTGCGGGTCCTATCGTTCAAGTAGTCAAGTAGTTCGCGGCATATTAAGAATCAAGGCTCTAGATATAACACTTGTCCTTTGGTTGCTAAGCGGATATCTCGCCTACGCCATAAATGACGCAAGTTGGTGAAAGCTAGTCGAGCCTTCTGTATCCGTGTTGAGATTTCGTCACACACCAGACTACAAGGGCTGATGAGACTCCGAAGATAAGTGAAGTGGTTAACACGCTCAACTACTTCACTCCCTATCATTAGTTCAGGTGTCAATGCAACCCAATCTTGAAGTAACATTTTGCACTTCGAGGAGGAGAATCACATCCCCAACTGATGTACGTACGTACGAAGTTCTAAGTTGTGGCTGTCTGACTGATATATATATATATATATATATATATATATATTCTGGATGTGTTGATTGATTGATTCTTTGTTTCTGTTGTTGTTGCTATGTAGTACCCCTTTAAGACAACGTTACCTCATAAAGTATTGGAAGAAATAATTAAAGCAAAAAATTGTAAGTTATTTATATATATATAAGAATCAATAGTTTCTATGCCTTTTGTTTACCATTAAAGTTGGATTAAAAATAAGAAATTTTAGATTAAACGTTATACTGTATACAATATTCTTAGTGTATTTTAAGTGCAGGAAAATAATCAATATATTACATTGTATTCTAATTTGTTTTTATTTATGATAAACAACAATATATTGGTGTTGCTATAGCAACTAATATATTGACCCTATGTTATTACAGTCAAGTTGAAAAATTGTTATAACTATAATTGGCTTTTAATGAAATTATACTCACCCTGTGTTTAAAGATGATCACATTTTATGCGTAACACTTTGATAATTGAAGAATATCAAACTTAATCAAACTAGAAGTCAGGTTTGAAGAAATTTCAAGAAATATTTAGAAGGCATTTAGTATGTTGAGAAATGTTGTAAAGGATGCATAGCTTAGTGTACCCAGCAGTGGTGATTTGATACGGATGCGCAACCGAGTGCCTTCAGCTAAGGTGTGTCTAATAAAACTGGTAAATTTAGTATAAATGTTGAAGACTTACAGAACTATTTAGCTAAAGCTGGACGAACCTTCTGTATCCGTGTTGAGATTTCGTTACACACCAGACCACAAGGGCTTATGAGATTCTCAAGATAAATGAAGCAGTCAACACGCTCAACTACTTCACTACCTATCATTAGTTCAGGTGTCAATGCAACCCAATCTTGAAGTAATATTTTGCACATCGAGGGGAAGAATCACATCCCGAACATGATTGCATAGTTGTTTATAGTGGTCAGAAGAATATGATCGCGTAATTAGTTAGCACACATGCAAAAAGATAGAACTGAAATTATCTCATTTTACTTGAATCAACCAGAGATTCTAACATTAAACAGTTAAAGCCAATGAATATTCTCCATATTGAACCGATATTATATTATCTAGTCCTCCTTAGATTGAAGCTTAAAATCTTTCCTCCTCTGTCATTCTTATATCTATTTTATCTGTACTATGATAGATTATGAATTTTTACAATCTACTTTAAATCTTGTCAATCAATTATGGAATCCTTTCATCAATTCATTACAATCTAATCATGATTGGAATATGGATTCATTTCAATTTGCAGCAGATATATGGAGATTACATCGAAATGAATAATATTACTATATTATCTCATTAGAATAATGCAAATAAAAAAAAAATCATGACTAGTTGAACTATTGTGATCTGTATATTTTCTATAATATGTCTCATTGTAATAAACATTTTGATACGAACTCAATTTTGTTATATCCTGAAGGGTAACTTTGGGATCCATTTATGGACCAATATTATGTATATATTTTTTATAGTTGAAATCAGGAGTCAATTGAAGCTAGACCACTAGTGAAAACCTGAAAGCACTGGACGGCCGTTTCGTCCTATTATGAGACTCCTCAGCAGTGCGCATTCACGAACCCGCACTCGTGAGATTCGGACCCAGGACCTACCAGTCTCGCGCCAGAGCCCTTATTCGATAGACCACTGAGTCGGCCGGCATCCAACGGTGTTGATGTCTAACTTCAACTAATCCACGAAGTTGAGCAGCCGTTCACCAATTGTCTTCAGTGAGTTGATATCTCTACAACAGACCTGGTTGAACTCCAAATATATATTTTTTAATCGTATAATCGCTATATAACCAAACTATTCATATTCGTGTCCGCCTTATTATAAGCTTGATTTTGAACTATAAACTATTGTTACAGGATTTACCATTTAGGGGCAATTCAATAGTCTCATGTTGAAACAGAGATTGAAATTAGCCATCAACACGACATTTTTTGCAGCCCAACGTGTCATTCACATAGTATTGTTTGTGCAAATCTTCCCATCGATGCTTAGGACTACAACTGGTCAGTCTCTAATTGGCATGTGTGCATATTGCCTCGATATAGCCTAAATTCACAAGCATGGTAAGCAAAGATGAATAATGACTAGCAGTGGAATCCAGGACGCGCGTTTCGTCCTATTTGGGACTCGACAGTTGGATGTACCTGCATCTCGGAATTGATGTTCACTTTGGGATTCGAACCCAGTACCTTTCGCTTCAAACGCCATCACGTTATCCACTGAGCAACTTGTCATTATTGAAAGACAACAAGGTCAATGTTTCACGAAAAATCCAAACAGAACGTAAGAGATTGTGTCTGTATGTGTGGGAACATGTACATGGGTAGGAGCAATCGTGATCTGCAATAAAGGGTGGCGTAAGACATACCTAAATGTCTACAGAAACAAATGAATCCCATTGGTGAAATAAGATCACAGGATAGACAGACATCTTCCTCTATTGCGAAACATTTAGTTGAGACTGGTCATAAGGTTGACATCAAGTTAGCATTTGTAATGTTGTACAAAAGCCTTGAAGTACGTATATTAGAGTTCATTAAAGCCCTGAATAAACGGAAATGGAAACCCCCTTTATGTGTTCAAAAGCAATTTGTCTTTCCCCTTAACCTACCCTAGTAATGGGTAAGTAAGTACTGTATTCAAGAATGATTCAATCACATGATAGACTAACTTTTCAGCTGTTGATACCAAACGTGAACCCTTAGCTATAGAAACGCAATTAACTAAATAAAAGTGGGTAAACAGATGAAAAGGAAACCCATGATTATCTAATATGACGTAAAGGATTATATATGTAATAAAAGAGTAGTTACTGATGAGTAATATAGCTGGATAGGATTTCAATAATATCACGGTGGGTTATATGAATATTTATCTGCTGTAAAAACAGACCTGATACTGAGGTTAAAGTGAACTTCATTCAAAATGAACATTTATTTCTTGGTGGTTAATTATACAACAACATTTATGGATGCGTAAAAGGAAATTACACCGTGAATGAGTGTTTTTGCTAGACTAAGTTATTTGATATAAAGTTGTAAACTGGTTATCAAACACAAAATCTTTATATTATTCAATATTCTTGTTCAGTCGGCTTCCGAAGATTTTCAACGGAGCCTCCAGAGGCCCAAAAAGGAGCCGAAGAGCCCTAGCCAATCATAGTATGATGGAACATTCTAGAATTTCAACGTGGCGTGCTATTATTGGTCGGTAGCATATTATGTCGTTAACGGAATGGCTGAAATATGATGTTGATTTAACAGACGCTAACATCTATAAATACCCATGATTTTCTGTACAAGAACGAACCTTGGAGTAAAGTATTTTTCTTTCATACTTGAGTCTTCTCTCTGGTGTTTAAGCCGCTGAGTAGTTCTAGCCTGTGGGTTACCAGAATAGCTTAAGAAAACGAATATAGCGTTCAAATCGACAAGACTTATCAATTGCAATCAATATGAACTCAACTTTGACTCCTTAAATTAACAAGGTAATTATTATAAAAGGCTCCAAACGCTGATTCTTATCGTAATGATCACAGAAATCCTTTAAATCCATTGGTGTAATGTTCAGAACAGTGTAAGACGTAATAAAAAAGAAAGTAGATTCTCAAAAATACTTAGGTAAATTGATGGCGACTGAGTAGATTCTCAAAACCGGTCGACTAAATTTAATTTAAGCAATCAGGGATTGGTTATACTAGTCGTGACAATTGTGACTCCAAACAGAGTACTTAGTAAATGAGTTATTTCAAATATTATGTAATAAATTTTGCCAAAACCATTCCAACGAATTATATATATATTAAGAGTTGACGTTAGTTATGTAGATCTTTGACAACAGCAGTTAACTTCATCACTTAAAAATACGGATAGTTCAATCTTTTGGTTCATAAAGTAGTCACACTAGCCTTTACTTTCACGTGGATAAAAACGCCCAAGCTTAAATGAAGTCAGAAGATCGTTTTAACTCTTCCAGAACACACTGTTGTATTTGTACGGAATAATGATTCCTTTATACCAGATTAACCGCTTATTACGAATTCCAAATACAATACATTCGTTTGTATTCATCTAGTTTTGTTTCGTTTAAATTACACTGTCTCAGAAATCCCTGGTTAGTACAATAACTCGAATACTTCTAATCACTATACATACAGTTTTACATTAGTTTGCTAATATTACTGTATTATGGGTTTCATTCTGTAGATTCGCGTGCAGATGTATGTAACACATAATGTGTATCAGATGACGACATAGGTTAGGTTGTTTGTTTCCTTTTTTGTTATGGTTAAATATTCGTAGACTTTTCTTACAATCGCAAAGAAAAATTATACGAAATGATTCAAATATAAACACTTTCATCGCGATTACCATAGTTATTTCTAGTTTGTTAACTGTAATACACTGACAATTTTTATTCTTAGTAAGATAACTTTTATTTTACAAACAAACTTTTGGTTACAACGTAAGAGTTTCGTATTAACTAGCAGTAGAATCCAGGATGAGCGTTGCGTCCTATTTCGGATGTACCTGCATCTCAGAGTTGATGTTCACTCTGGGACTCGAATCCAGTACCGTTCGCTCGAAACGCCACCGCGTTATCCACTTAGCTACTGAGCCCTGATAGCCACTTGCTTTTGCAATGGGGTGAAATTTAAATTCACTTGGTATTGTTTTGGTTGAATCTTCTCGTTGAAAAATCATTAGAGCTTAAAATGAAGTCTTTCATAAAAATGACACTATTATCATGTACCATTTTATAGCAACTATCCTACAATCAGTTTCAATTACTTAACAGACATCTTCATTTGGATAATAACAATTTGCATATTCTTTGTACTGTTATGATCACTAGAGCACATGACAGACTCTAGCCAAAATGTTGATTGCTTAAGTATCATTGACTGACTTATACTCCTCCCCATATATGTATACACGCAAATCCTATTATCAGCTTTTGTTTTGTTTTCCTGTGCTCTTATTAAATTTGACTATAAATTGTCTAGGTAATTGCTTGCTACTCACTCGCTTGTTGATATTCGCTCTTCATTTAACGAAGCACCAGACACATATGCGCCACACAAATCTCATTTGATTTGTGTGAGGGCTGTGATACTGCCCAGGTGCCCAGACTGAAGTAGGTGGTTTCCTTAGGGGGCCACACCCAGAGCCTTTAACCTGAATGTCTGATCCACAAGGCAGTGGAGCATCGTGAGGAGATGCAGTCCCATGGAAGCCGGTGACCAACGATTGATTTATACGCCATTTGTTCCCTCAGGATACTGGAGCCAGCTTATGTGCACCATTGGTTTAGAATCATGGTTTACGAACTCCCCTAGGTGGACTCGCCATGTCCACCAACCCGGTTAAAGTGCCGGACATTCGGTTTTCGTTCTCTCAATTTCATAAACAACAGTAATGTCATTAGAAGGTGGTGAGTAGGACTTCCCTGGCAGAGGCTATATACGAGTGGCCATGTGAGAGGATTTGGAGAGGGAGAGCGGACTCTCTCCACTCTCAGCCGTACCACGTGCTGGTAGCTTTGTGGCCTACGTTATTGGATAATAAACTGTAGTTTCAGCTTCAGTTTGCCTTCTGATTTTTATGCACCGTTAAGATTTGTATTATAACGAATATTAAGGTGATCGATTAATGAGACACGGCACTACAATCTATCTATCTATCTCATAAGTCATTGAAGAAACAACCGCAAGATTTGGGTAAAAAACAATTTTACTAGTCAATTTCTCTCAGAAAAATAGAAAAACTTTATTTAAAAAAAATAATAAACAAACAAAATCTTTACTCATCATTTGGCATTGGGTTTATAGTTTAAAGGTGGAGAGAAGAAAACAGCAACAACAATAAAACCAAAAATCCAATAACATAGTAACATCTAAATGCTGATCTAAGTTATTAAAAAATAGATATATAATTAAATCTAAACGTAATCGACAACTGAAATGCAACACTATTTATTAATAAGAATAATTAAGTGGAAAACATAGACTTAGCAACAATTTCTACCGTTTGTGAATTCTTAACGAATTGGTGATAAAAGTAATTGATCTTTAATTGTTTTCAATTCATTATTTTGTAAATCCTGGCAATGATATGAAGAGAAAGATAAAAAACACAAAAAAAATTGATCAGAAGGGGGGTTTTGTGGAGATTTTAGTAATTTTACATAGTTGAAATCATGAGTCAATTGAAGATAGGTCACCATGAAAAACCTGGAGGCATTGGACCGTCGTTTCGTCCTATTGTGAAACTCTTCAGCAGTGCACAATCAGGGAAGTTCAACCGAGTCTGCTGTGAGATAGTAACTCACTGAAGACAATAGTGGATGTGTCGCTCAATTTCGTGGATTAGTTGAAGATAGACATTAACACCATTGGATGCCGGCTTAGTGGTCTAGAAGTTAAGCGTTTGTGCGCGAGACCGACAGGTCCTGGGTTCGAATCTTGTGAGGCGGGATCGTGGATGTGCACTGCTGAGGAGTCACACAAAAGGACAAAACGGTCGTCCAGTGCTTCCAGGTTTTCCACGGTGGTCTAGCTTCAATTGACTCATGATTTCAACTATATAAAAAGAAATTTAATAAAGAACAAAAATATTAAAACATTGAGTAAAAATAGTATAAACGTACATTTGATGATTGAGCATTAAAAACGTATGTTTATTATAATATGAAAGTAAGTTGGAGTTTGGAATCTACTTCATCTGTCACTGTAACTATCAGATGTTATAAAAAACATTGTAACAGAAAATCAACAACATGGGAGTCAAACTTAGTCAACGAGTTACATAGATAAGAAGTGATTACCTAATGAGTAAATCATTCAATTTCTGGCTACTAAGTCCTTGAGTTTGAATTCCACCGCACCTAGTTTGGTTTGGATAACTGATTAATATGATTAGCCCTGACACTTAGAGTATAGTTCATACCTAATGAACTATAGAATGAATGTATTTGTCAATCATATTTTATACTCTGTTAATAATTTTTTCTAACATCATTTACTGAACAAATCTTACACAACTAATATTAAAAAAATTGGTTAAAAAACATGAAACAAGCCTATATCAGACAATATTTATGTAACTAGTGTTAAATGTGAAACATCGATAAACATAACATATAATATTTTGATGGAGTTTTATTCTCTGACCTGGATGGTTTGGTCATTTGGTCTGTCTGAAGTTTGTGCTGATAATGTCGTTCAGAAGAACGATGAAAGCTCCACAACCAAACCATTCAGCTTAGAGAACAAAAATCCATCAATCCATCCACCATCTCAATAATATATAATACCATATAATACTGATTTGATTTTCGCGAAAAAAAGAAATCAAGTGTTGCAGTATATCAAAAAATTGACTAAAATATAAAAACACTGGATTTCAAACCAATAGCATAGAAGCAATGTACACCAACAGGAACTGCAGTTTTAAGATGCGATCCCTTTTACGAGTGTATACCGCTGAAGCCCAGTCGGCCAGTATGCACATATGCCAATTAGAGACTGACCAGTTGCAATTCTAACACATCGATGGGAAGATTCAAAACAAACAATACTAAATGAATCTAAATAATGAATAAGTTTTTAATAACCTTATTATGTATTAGCATTTATCTTTATATATTAGATAATACTGTACATAAAGTGTTACTGTTCAAGGTTGATTCACCATCACCAATTATCCATGAGAAATTTACAAGTGATCGACCTCATATGTTGGTTTATCAGTAGAAGATAATATAATTGTAATCTTAATTGAATTGTTAAACAGCTATACTAGAAAAACCTTTACTTTCACATTATTATCAGTTAGTTTGAATAAGATACTCATATTAGAGAGTTCTGATTTATTTCTTTATGTGAATACATAAATATTGGTACAAGGGAGCACCAGATATATATGCGCCACAAAGAAAAATGGTCATTTCATTTTAATTGTATGAGGACTATGAAACTGTTCGAGTATACAGGGAAGCAGGTGGTTTTCTTGGGAGGGGGGCACACCCCGAGTCTTTAACCTAAAGGTCCAATCCACAAGGCAGTGGAGCATCATGAGGAGATACAATCCCATGGTAACTGGTGACCGACAATGCGTTCATACGCCATTTGTTCCCTAAGGGTCCTGGAGGCCATGTGCACCATTGGTTATGAATCAGGGTTTTCCAACTCCTCTAGGTGAACTCACCGCATCCACCGGCCCGGTTAAAGCACCGGATATTTGCTTTTCGTCTTCTCAATTTTGTAAACAGACCCTCACCACGGGAAGGCAGTGAGTAGGACTTCTCTAGCAGAGGCTATATACACGTGGAATTTCAAGATGGAGAGCGAACTCTCCCTAATCTCGGCCGTACCAGGGCATTGGGGGGTGCAGAAGTGTAGAAACTATCATATGAAAGATTATTATTTATATTTTCATTGTGTAATTAATAGAGACTTGTGTTGTTGTATTCTTACATTCCGTAATGTCTAACCTTTTGTTTGATTCATAAATCTTTGTCCTATGTCTTATTATTCCAGATTTATCATTAACTAATTATTCCCTTAATACTCTCACTTTCCATCACTTATGACTAAGTGATTTACACATTGTAATTACTTAATTGTGTTGCTGTGTAGTCATACATTTTAAGTACACTAAGAGTTCTGAATCATGATTCAGTACAATAAAGAACTGATCTGTTTTCAGTTTTTGTCTTCCGATTGAGCACTGTGTTAAAGAAAGAGCTCGAGGAGCAATAAGTGTTATGGTTTAGGTTGTCGTTCATTATTTGATATGTCACCGTTTCTACTGGATTATAAATAAGCTTATCGCAAATTGGACTGCAGGGAGAGGTGATACAATTGTTTTCCTGTCATTATTTATTTATTATTATATTTATTTAAACACATATATATTGGTACAAAAGGGCACCAGATACATATGCGCCACACAAAATAATGAAAGTAGGTAGATAAAGGATGAAAAGATAAGGCGGGCTGAAATGTAAAACCAGAAGATTCTTTCAGTTAGGAAAGTTAGAACCATTCTTTATGTAGAAAGTAAAAGAAGGTTGCAGCAGGATCGCCACTGGCTTCTATTCTGAGCCATATCTGATAACGTCTCTAGCCACTGTGTTGCACCATCTCTCGGACCCCAACCAGGGAGTCGTGAAGGACCAACAGAAGCTAGCCCTTTGTAGCTTTCTTTCATGCCACGACACCATGTCATACACTGACCACCTATCCGCTTTTTCCAACCAGTCCCAGGGTCGGCAAATAATGCACGACGTGGAAGTTTCTGGGACGACATTCGTAAAACATGTCCAAGCCACCGAAGTCGGTGTTTCAAGATGGTGACACCAATTGAATTATCGTCTCTGCGCTCGAACACACGATGCCGAACCTCTGCATTATTAACATGGTGTTGCCACTGGATGTCAGCAATTCTTCGGAGACAACGATGATCGAACACAGAGAGACGTCTAACATCCTCAACTCGGAGAGGCCAGGTTTCACAAGCATAGAGCAAAACTGCTCTCACCGACGCGTTGTAGATCCGACCTTTTACAGCCAGACTAACATCACGAAGGCGCCAAAGATGGCCCAGATTGGCATAAGCCGCTCTGGCTTTCATTATACGTGCATCGATCTCATCACTCACGCCACCACAAGCACTTATATAGCTACCGAGATACACGAACTTCTCAACTACTTCAATCTGCTCACCATCCAGGGTGAGTACAGGATTAGAATCCTGCCAGTCTTGTAGGAGTACTTTGCACTTGGAGGGTGCAAAGCACAAATGAATGAAATGATGAACTCTATTTCCTGTCATTACAGCCCGACTACACGAAATCCAATACAGTCTAACCAACCAGTCTGTTTTTTCCCAATGTAAACTACTCCATTCCAGGATAAAACTTATGTTATAACATACAAACGACTCAAGACAATTCAACCATTATAGATGGCTAGTTAAGTGCTATGCTATAGGGTTGATTATTCAACAACATACTATTAAAATTTTGATTGTCAATAATCTTTAAGAGCCTAATATGGCTTGACAAAATGGAAGAATTACTAGTTGCTACTTTTTATATTCTGACAACAAGTCTATATATATATATATATATATATATAGGCAGCCCTGATGTCAAGAAACACTACGATTGTTGGCATGTGATAAGTATGATGATGTTCTAACTTTTGGCGGAAGGTGAAGATATGATCAATACATCTTCGATCAGAACGAAAACCAGCCTGCTCCTCACGAGTCAATCTTTCTCGGGTATTGAACAACCTACGAAGTATGACAGAAGCCAATAGTTTGAACGCAATCCGAAGTAGATTTATCCCACGATAGTTGTTACATAAACAACGTGAACCCTTTTTAAAGATAGGGACAACTATCGACTCGTTCTATGATGTTGGGACACTACAGCTCGCAAACCTTTGTAAACGACGTAATCAGTCACTTAACCAGAAAGTCATAACCATTTGTAAAAACAACCGGAGGTAGGTCTCCTGGGCCCGTGATTTTTAGCGTTTCAAGAGTTGGACTTCCCAGCAGACTTCCGGCTAATTTGATGGATCAGTCGTCACAAGCCATGGATGGCAGGACAGTTGCCGGAGCAGCAGGCCAGTTGAACTGCACTTCGAAGAACTCTGCCCATCGTCCAAGACGTCGAGAGATGTTAGTGATTAGCATCCCTTCATCCTCATAGATAGTTTCGCTCACACCAGATGTCTTACTGCCAGTGAGCCGGATGAGTTGAAAGAGCTCCCGGCAGTTAGCAGATGAAGTTGCTGCTTCCAGCTTATTGGCACGCTCCGGCCACCAGGCTTCTCGGTCCTTACGCACCAGCCCTCGTTTGTGGTCAAACTCACGATCACCCAGAGTTGACTGATGGGCTTCGAGGAGTTGTAAGGATCCTGAAGAAATCCAGTGCATATAAGCGGGAAGTTTTGCGAAGCCTCAAGCGGTTTTACTCGTCATACTCATACAACTGCAACCAATGCTCATCTATCCTTCTCGGTGGGATGGTAGCTAGCCTAGCTTCGAGCTAAAGATAAAATTAGAAAAAGACACTGTAAGTGGATAGAACATACTTTGATGAAATCACAAAACTGCATCACGTGACAAGCATTAACTTCGAATCGTGAAGGGAAACGGAAAAGAGGAAGACCAATGAGCACATTACGTCGGGAATCAGAGACAGACGTCAGAAGAATAAAATATCATTTGGATACAACTAGAAAGGATTGTACAAGACAGAGTGGGATGGAGAATGCTGGTGGGCAGCCGATGCTCCTCGACAAGGGGGGAAAGGCATAAGTAAGCAAGTAAGTAAGACACACTGACATAAAATATATCTGCCAAAGACCAATCTCTTCTCTCAAATAACAATTGTCTTCATTAAAATATCATTGTAATTTCTTATTTCAATATATTCTATAAATTTTCATAGCTTAAAGCGTGAGTCAATTAAAGCTAGACCATCAGGAAAAACCTAGAAGCACTAGACGGCCGTTTCGTCTTATTGTGGGACTTGTAAGCAGTGAGCATTGACGATCCCGCCTAACGAGAGAGAACCCAGGATCTAGCAGTCTCGCGCGTGACCGCTTAACCTCTAGACCACTGAGTTCAATTCACTTATCATTTCAATTCATCTTTACATTCATGTGGTCAAAGCAATAAGTCTAGTCTAATCAATCATAACATAATCAAAACAAACCTTTTGTTTAATTTCTTCCGTTAATGATATAATACGCATATCAATTTGACGACGTTCATAAGTTAATTTATTTAATTTTTTTTCATAAAATTCATTTTGTTTATCTTGATTTATTAAAGTAGTATTTAATTGTTGTTTATATGAATTGATGAAATTATTCATTTTCTCTTGAATTGTTATAATATTAGAATGTATCATATCAAAATTGATTTTTAAAGATTCTTGTTTCTAAAAGGAAAACAGAAAAGGAAGTTACACAGTAAAACACAATGGAAACTAACAAAATTATTCAAAACAAACAATTCATACTTATTCTCAACTTCTGTATAATGTGTATAATTAAACAAGTCGGTTCCCCCAAATGCTCTGGTACGGCTGAGAGGGCGGAGAGTCTGATCTCCCTCTCGAAATGCTCTCACAAGGCCACGCGTTTATGACCTCTGACAGGGAAGTAATACTCATTGCCCTCTCGTTGCGGTGGTGTTGTTTACGAAATTAAAAGGGCGAAAACCGAATGTCCGGCACTTTAACAGGGTTGGTGCACACGGATAGTCCACATAGGAGAGTTGTGAAACCTTGACTTCAAACCAATGGTGTACATGGGCTCCACTATCCTAAGCGAAAAAATGGCGTATGAATCAATCGTTGGTCACCGGCTACCATGGGATTACATCTCCTTACGATGCTCCACTGCCTTGTGGATCAGATCTTTAGTTCAAAGGCTCCGGGTGTGATCCCCTAACAAAACCACCTACTTCGGATTAGGCACCTGGGCAGTATTACAGCCCTCACACAAATCTCATTAGATTTGTATGGCGCATATATATCTGGTGACCCTTTGTACCAACAATTATGTGTTTAAATGAAATGAAATCAAGAAGTACGAAACAAGCGGTTTGCAGTCAGCTATTCCACATTAGAAATCAATAATAGAAAGAAAATTACACATTAAATGTTCAGAAGCTGGGTGTCTGTCTGTCCATGTTCGGAGATCAACAGCACCCAACATTCATTAGCCACAGGTTAAATTAGATGAAATATTGTAAATGACTGATGAAAAACTCTATCTACTTAGTGCAATTACTAAATATGATCATTGTAATATTACCTAAAACTTAGTACTGATTCAATGACACGAAAAATCCATATGACTTGATCATTGTAAACCGGAAAATTCAACTTTACAGTGACATGTTTTCTCAGTTATTCTGTGTATTACACGAAGAACATGTAAGTCAAAAGATCTAAAAATTGCTTAAGAATATTGTGAAGATCTTTTACAACCTACATCCGTCAGAGTAAAAAGGATAGGAATGTACGGACAAAGCTTCATGCTAAAACTAAACTGAAGAAATATACAACTCATGGATTTGTCATTTGATCCATCTTCAAATTAAGATTTTTTCCTTTGAAAGAGTAAGTTGTTGTTGTCAACTATTATTTATTTATTTAAACACATAAATATTGGTACAAGGAAGCACCAGATATATATGCGGCTCACAAATCTCATTCGATTTGTGTGAGGGCTGTGATACTGCCCAGGTGCCCAGACTGAAGCAGGTGGTTTTCTTAGGAGGCCACACCCGGAGCCTTTGACCGAAAGATCCGATCCACAAGGCAGTGGAACATCGTAAGGAGATGCAGTCCCATGGTACTAGGTGTTCCATCAGGATACTGGAGCCTATGTGCATCATTGGTTTAGAATCAAAGTTTTCCAACTCCCCTAGATGAACTTGCCGTGTCCACCAACCCGGTTAAAGCGCCAGATATTCGCTTTCCGTCCTCTCAACTTCATGAACAACACCCCGTCACGAGAAGGCAGTGAGTAGGACTTCCCTGGAAGAGGCTATATATTCGCTGGCCATGTGAGAGCATTTGGAGAGAGAGAACGTAATCTCCCCACTCTCGGCCGTACCAGGGCATTTGGGGGCAAAATCCGTTAACTAAACAACATTGAATAAAGAACACCAGTTAAATTTTCACAGTAAACATGCTTGGAATTTTTCGTTGAAGTAAACAAAAAAGTGTTTGTGATTTTATGAGTTTTCGGGTGAAATTAAAAGTTCCAAACCCTGTTTTTTGGTGACTATCATCTAGTTTTATTCTGTTGTATGGAAATGCTTTTTTCTTTGTTAAAAGAAAATCTAATTGTAATGAAATAGTATGGAAAACAAGACAGATGATCATTTTTACCGCGTACTAACATTATTAGAAGGGGGTTTTGTGGATAGTATAGTAATTTTAATAGTTGAGACCATTAACCAATTGAAGCTAGAACACCATGGAAAACCTAGAAGCACTGGACGGCCGTTTGGTCCTATTGTAGGAATCTTCGGCAGTGCGCATCCACGATCCCGCCTCACAAGATTCGAATCCAGGACCTATCAGTCTCGCGCGCGAACGCTTAACCCCTAGATCACTGATCTAAACTATTGAAATTACTATAATATCCACAAAAACCCCTTCCGATAATAATCAACATATGCTCACTAGAGATTGGCTCTAGTGAGAAGCACTGACCAGTGGAGTCCAACCAGGCCTGTTGTGAGATAGTAAATCACTGCAGACAATGATAGATGTGTCGCTCAATATGGTGGATTGGTTGTAGTTAGACATTAACACCATTAGATGTCAACTCAGTTGTCTAGATGTTAAGCGCTCGCACGCGAAACTGACAGGTCCTGGGTTCGAATCTCGTGAGGCGAGATTGTGGGTGCGCAATGCTGAGGAGTCCCACAATAAGATGAAACGGCTGTCTAGTGCTTCTAGGTTTTCCATGGTGGTCTAGCTTCAATTGATTCATGATCTCAACTATTAAAAGGTACTAACATTATTTATAACAAACCTTTTTCGCAAATTGTAATACATTTTGTGCACGTTCAATACGATGCACCATATCCTTATGTACAGCAAGCATTCGTTTAGCTTGATCCATTGTTTCATTACGTTCTTCGATTAAATGCATGATTTTCGTAGTTTCTACTAATTGACATTCTGATATGATTGTTTCAGCTGTGTTATGAGTGGATTGATAATCTTTAAGTACCGACCTAAATCAAGGAATCAATAAATAAAATAATACAAAGATTTGTTTCTCATAAGTTGTAAACAGATGAAAAGAATTAAGAAATTTATATGAATTCAGCTATCTGCTTAAGATTAAGTGTTTATCACAAGTAAATATTCACTTATCAAATACAGATTAAAGCAGTTGACTTTGTGTTTAATGATGCTAATGATGTTATCGAAAAGCTAAATAACTGAAAATCCAACATACTGAACAGTGAGAATCAGAAAACAGTTTTATACTACATTACTGAATAATACAAATCAGCTACTAAATGCTGAACGACTGTAAGCATGAATTAGAACAATATGAAATGAACAGATAGAGTCTGTCAAGCATCGGAATTGACGAAGTGCATTTAACACTATTCGGGACAAGCCAACACTAAAATCTCTTTAAAATCATGAACTGATTAATGTCAGATCACTACTGTAAACCTGGAAGCACTGGTCTGCCGTTTCATCCTAGTATAATACTCTTCAGTGGTTAACGACCACCATCCCGCACTCGGGATTCAAACGCAGAACATTTGGTTTCTCGAGAACTCTTAACCTCCAGATCATTGAACCGGGATACGACGGCGTTAATGTCTAAATTCAATCAATCTACGATGTTGCTCAACCACCTATTATCTTCAATCGATAAATGCTTCACACCTGATACAGTTGTACCCATATTAAACACAGCTTCTGACTACCATCAATGAAGTACTATAAACAGCTCTAATGGAATTTGGTAATGATGATGTGGATCTGTTACCTGGAGACTGTTCGACCTGGAATATACGGGTGATATTGTCTTATTATGCGGTGACACTGAAGCCCTGCAATTTTCACTTAATTAGCTGACAATCAATGATCGTAAATATGACACATAACTCTCGCTTCTAAATGCAAAGTATTTTAACAAGACCGATAGGAGCTTGTGTCTGGACATACTCTTAGCAGTGAGTCATTAGAAGCCATCGAAAATCTTGTGTATTTGAGTGGATTTTGTAGTGCTAGTAATGAAGTAACAGGTGCGGTAACTTGTATGACTATGAAGCTAGGCAATACATGATACCGTCTTCGAAGAAGTATCAGTTCCCTGAAGATCATAGGTACACCTTGCTGACTGACGGTGTTAATGTCTAACTTCAACCAATCCACGAATTTGAGCAACCATTAACCAATGTCTTTAGTGAGTTGATATCTCCCAACAGATCTGGTTGAACTCCACTGCTGAGGAATCCCACAGTGGAACTGGTTGAGCTAAGCAGAAGCAGGACCGATACGTACTCTAGACTGCTCGTGAGGTTACCGTGTGTCACTGGTCCGATAGATAATTCGCTGCTCGCTGATTGGCGGTCATATCACAGGACATCCACTCGGCCACAAGTTATAACATAAATATTTCTAAGTTTAGTGTTTATAAAACATGATTGTTGTAATATTGTGTATTTTGTGTTAAGACTTTCTAACCGTGATGATCAAACAAGTGGTAAAGAATAAAGCGAGCATTCTTCTTCTTCTTCTTATCATTATTATTATTATCATTATTATTACAAGATTCCAGTGGAGGAAGAAATCAGGAAGAAGCGCTGGAAGTGGATAGGACACACATTAAAGAAATCACCTGAGTCACAAGACAAGCCCTCACATAAAATCCTCAAGACCAAAGGAGAAGAGGAAGACCAAAGAACACATTACGCCGAGAAATGGAAACAGACATGAGGAGAATGAACAACAGTTGCATAGAACTTAAAAGGAAGGCCAAAGACAAAGTGGGTTGCAGAATGCTGGTCGACAGCCTATGCTCCATTGGAAGTAACAAGCGTAAGTAAGTAGGTAAGTAACAAACATTAGCTTCTCATAATACCTTCAATTTGCAACAACAAAAAAACAAATGTATGAAATTAACTTACTTCCATAAATCTGCTTCATTTTTCAACTTAGCAATTTCATCACGTAAGATTTGTTTGCTCATTTCAATATTTTCAGGATTTTCAATTATATTACTGTTATTATTATTAATTGAAATGAATGATTTAGATTTTGTAGGTGAAGAAGAAACCGGAGGAACAGTAATGGTAATTCCATTATGTTCATGACATGATTGATTATTATTGAAATCATTATTAGTAATATTGTTGTCAGGGATATTAACATCATTTATATTATTATTATTATTATTATTATTATTATTATTATTATTATTATTATTATTGATTAATTCTTTTAATGGTGATCGTGATAGATTTGATGTTGATGATGTATTTTCGCTTTTCATGCTAACATCATCAATATCTTCATGTACAGTCTGAAGAAATGTTATAAAGACGAAAACAAATTATTAAGAAAAAATAATATTTTAATGAATTGAACTAACGAGTTATATATATATATATAATTATATCAGTCATAATTAACATCATAATACTATAATCGAATGAAGAGATGACAATTGTAAAGGTGCATAGTAAGAGTGTAGTGTGATCAACTTATATCCTCATAAGTAGTATATGGTTATGGTCAGACATAGAATGTATTTTGGCAGAAGATCGATAAGGAAAGAACTGAAATGAAGCGCAATTGGTGGGAAAATGCATGAACAATGTAATGAGAGAAAAAGAATCGATATTTACAAAAGGAACAGCGAAGATTGACATAATTGATGGTTATTTTGCAAATTAACTATTCATTGTATGGTTATTAGAATTTACTGAGATAGTTTGTAATTTGTGCTTAAATACATTCGATTGTCCCCAGTCGTGTTTTGTTCATTACAAGAGAATCGATGAAATAGTAGCTTTAATGATAATGAGAGAGACTAAACATTAAGAATATACTTTGGAAAGAAATGAAAAGGTATGTATGAAGGAATACTGCAACTCATCCCCCAAATGCCCTGGTACGGCCGAGAGTGGGGAGAGTCACCTCTCCATCTCGAAATACTCTCATATGGCCAGCGAATATATAGCCTCTGTCAGGGAAGTCCTACTCACTGCCTTCTCGTGGCGTGGGTGTTGTTCACAAAATTGAGAGGATGAAAAGCGAATGTCCGGTGCTTTAACCGGGTTGGTGGACACGGAAAGTCCATCTAGGGGAGTTGGAAAACTTTGATTCTAAATCAATGATGCACATGGGCTCCAGTATCCTGAAGGAACAAATGGCGTATGAATCAATCGTTGGTCACCGGCTACCATGGGATTGCATCTCCTCACGATGCTCTACTACCTTGTGGATCAGATCTTTAGGTCAAAGGTTCCAGTTGTGGCTCCCTAAGAAAACCACCTGCTTCAGTCTGGGCACCTGGGCAGTATCACAGCTCTCACACAAATCGAATGAGATTTGTGAGGCGCATATGTATCTGGTGCTTCCTTGTACCAATATTTATGTGTTTAAATAATAATAATAATAATGTACATAGATATGAGACATGTTAAACGCTTCTTAATAAATAATGGTTCTCAAACTGATGATACCAGTTCATGATGAATACAAAGAACATTCCCTCTGTTATATAAACATCCACATAAATATAATAGTTAAATGAGTTGTTTTTTATGAAGTTTGGAAAGGTTATTCAGTTGGAACAATGTTAAACACTGCCCATTTTAAATGCACTGAATCCTGAATTTGAGCCATATTGTAAACACAAACAACCATATGCAAGTAAATTACATTTCGTTCACGAGTCCCGAACGGGACAAAATGAATCTTGGATTCCCACTGATATCCATTATTTAAAATGATGTAGTTATTGGATTTGAAGAGTTAGTAATACTCCTTTGAACTAGTCTACACAAAAAAGACTACGACTCTACAGAAAACTATTAAAACTTGGTCATTCACATTAATCAATTCATCATAAATTATTTGATTTATTATTCCGATCATTACCTCCATTAAGTTTATGACATCTTATAACTGAAATCATGAGTCATTTGAAGCTAGACCACCATGAAAAACCTGGAGGCACTAAACGGCCGTTTCGTCCCAATGGGAGACTCCTCAGCAGTGCGCATCTACGATCCCGCCTCGCAAAATTCGAAACAAGGACCTATCAGTCTTGCGCGCGAGTGCTTAACTATGACATTTGGTATAGACAAATTCAATTATAACTATTTATTTGCTCACATGCCTTATTATAGAATAATATTTATACATTTATAAACTGTTCATCATGCAGAAGTAGTGAAATATATAATCGTTAGAAATAGGACTTCCTGTACACTATGATCATGATAGACAGATTACAGAATACTAAAAATCATGTTTTAGGTTTTACTTTCTAATTCTGTATATATCTAAACAACATCATCGGCAGCTAGACAATCGAGAATTCTGAATATCATCAGTTGAGAGAGAGTGATAAACGTAAAATAATGAGTTGTAATCTAACTGGTTGATACTCCTAGATTTAGCTGATGATTCATGATATGACAAGAGATTTTATGTAATACAATTAAATGATAAAGAGAAACAGTTATTGCCTTGTCTATTAAACTAGTCATAAGACAAGTTCTTTACATTTAAGATATCAGTTCACTAAAAATATAGAAAGAGGCAAGATATAATAATCAAGCAGAAGTGTAGACATAAGTGTTGTTTTCGAAGGTGTGTTATTCTTCGAGCTGGAGCATGGTCTATTCCCGAAGTTTGTACTCTTTCTGAACAACATCAGAAACACACACTTCAGAAGGAAGTTGGCTGTTAAAAGTAGGTGCTAATGACTCTCGAGATTCTTATTCTGAGTTATAAACATTCCACATCATCTTGACAGGTCCTACTCCTCCTTACTTATTTAAGCCTGTTACTCCTAGTCGATGAGCATAAGCCGCCCACCAGCATTCTTCATCCAACTCTTTCTTGTACAATCCTTTCCATTTGTTTCCAAATGTTATTCATTCTTCCCGACACAATGTGCTCCTTGGTCTTCCTCCTTTCCGTTTCCCTTTAGAATTCCAAGTTAGCGCTTGTCTTATGATGCAGTCTCATGATTTCCTCAATGTATGCCCTATCCACTTCCGACGCCTTTACCTAATTTCCTCTTCATCTGGAAACTGGTTTGTTCTCTGCCAGAGTAGGTTATTAATGATATCCGGTCAACGGACATTGAGGATCTTGCATAAACAACTGTTTATAAGTACTTTAATGATGGTTGTGGTATTTCTAAAAGTTTCAGCTCTGTACAGTAGAAATATCTTGATATCCGTATTAAAGATTCTGACTTCGATGCTAGCTGACAGTTGTTTCGAGTTCCATATATTTCTTAACTATAGGAATGTCGCACTTGCTTTGCCAATCCTTGCATTTAAGTCTGCATGAGATCCTCCTTGTTCATCGAGGATGGTGCCCAGGTGCGTGAAAGTTTCCACTTTATCCAAAGCTTTTTCGCCCGAAATTCTTCGAGGGTTACCGTCGGTTTCAATCCTCAGTAAAGAAGGTGGTTTGGATATAAGGTCAACAACCTCATCCCGTAAAAAAGAACCTTGTTAAAAAAACACTAGCAGGTCCCGTTGCTGTTACTTAAATCAAACAGAATTAGAACCCAAGTTTGTACAAAAGAATCTGGAAGAGAAACTATGTTAGGAATGATCTTAACGACTTAGGAATATGGCTACAGAACTTCAGAGATAACTGTTTGAAGCCGGCTACGTACGGCTCTTTTCTGTTACCATCACACTAAGATGACATGTGTGGTCGGGAATTCTCCACAATACCTTAATCTAGCTAACATTTGATGGAACAAAAAAAATTTGTAAAATCAGGACTGATCTAAAACTTCATAGTGGTTGAAGATAAGTAGAGTAATTATATACATGGATGACCAAAAGGGAACTTATACCATTTTTTAAACAAAAAACCTTTAGTTAAAACTTATGCTGAAGAGAAACTTATTGCAACATTTTTTCATTCTATCTAAATGCTCTTAGAAATGAAAAAAAGCGATTAAGTAGGTGAACTACCTTATACAACTGCAAACATTCTGTATTTTCTTTATTTCCTAACAACATTGCACCATCACCATCAGTACAGCTACCAGTTATCTCCATTTTACTAGATATCTCCATTGAACCATTCAGATCATGTACGGAACTGACTGTTTTCCATGTCTCCTCATCATCCAATAATTGTTGAGAGATTTGTTCAGACTGAACAAATGATGTTACATTTAAGCAAGATTGTTGTTGGTGTTGTTCTCTTTCATGTTTCTCTTGTTCAATGCTTAATTCCCTTTTAACTGATTCAGCTTTATTACCTACCGAACAGGATTCAATTAATGATTTCGATGAATCATTAATACTTTGCTGTTTATTTACTAATGGAGTATCTTTCAGTGCTAACTGTGATGAACCAGATGACATAAGACGTGAGTAAACAGACCGTGCAGCTTTTGATAAAAATCCAGAAATACCACCAGTATCTTTAGTATACGGTGTAGTATCGATATCTGTATTACGATTGACAGTATATTCAGGTGTATTGTAAGGAACATTTAATGCATTAGTTTGTTGAATGCCCTCCGGTATACACATTGATTTGTTAAGATGGAATGGTGTTGATGTCAAGTTTGATATTTGTGGTTTACTGACTAATTTTTCATTATCTAACATCTTTTCAGATTTCGTTATATCAAATGTCAAAGATGAAGTAACAGATTTAGAAGATTGAATTTCTGGAGTTTTATCTGAAACAAATTAAAGAATGAATATTCATACAATAAGTGAGTTAGCATATTCATGGTGGGTATGAACAAAAATCATAAATTTCGCTCAATTACGAAGTTCGAGAAAAGCTTATTAGGATTATCGCGTGGAACTGAGTCAGGAATGCTGTAATTTTTGATAAGGCTTAGTTAAATACTTAATGCTTTGAGTGACTGATGACGATTTTTCAGTGACCCATCCTAGTCTTTTTTAAACTCGAAACTATGTTTGGTAATGTTGAACACCGACATAAATGATCATAACAGTAAATAATAAAATTGAATATTTGACAGGCTGTGTCAATCAGATTTTATTTTATTTATTTATTTAAACACATAAATATTGGTACAAGGAAGTACCAGATAAATATGCGCCTCACAAATCTCATTCGATTTGTATGAGGGCTGTGATACTGCCCAGGTGCCCAGACTGAAACAGGTGGTTTTCTTAGGGAGCCACAACTGGAACCTTTGACCTAAAGATCTGATCCACAAGGTAGTAGAGCATCTTGAGGAGATGCAATCCCATGGTAGCCGGTGACCAACGATTGATTCATACGCCATTTGTTCCTTCAGGATACTGGAGCCCATGTGCATCATTGGTTTAGAATCAAAGTTTTCCAACTCCCCAAGGCGGACTTTCCGTGTCCATTAACCCGGTTAAAGCACCGGACATTCGCTTTTCGTCCTCTCAATTTCGTAAACAACAGTAATGCCACGAGAAGGCAGTGGGTAGGACTTCCCTGACAGCGGTTATATACGCGTGGCGATGAGAGCATTTCGAGAGGGATAGCTGACTCTCCCTACTTTCGGCCGTACCAGGGCATTTAGGGGCTCATTGAGATATATATAGATATATCAAAGATCATTAAGGGGTTTTGTTATTAATAATTATAAGGGTTCTTATTTTACACGTTGTTGATAATCAAGATTGAATTTTATCTATAATTATTGGTAGATATACTCCATGAATAGATAAACTGATAACATTATAAATATTTAAAAATTTATTATAATCTGGATAGTTGCTTTCACTGGATATACCAATTCCTCGGTCTCTCTTAGCCATGGTTTATTCAGAAGGCAGTCTTTCATGATAGATTTACTTGGTAGAGATCAAACAATAACAATTTAAGCAAACAATGCATGTGTTTAAACATATGTACAATTCATATGTGTGCTACTGATGTCGATAGATCTAAGTAGTATGTATAATCAATCGAAAGTGAGATAGCTCGAAGCAGAAGGTTAAGAAGATCCAAAAAATAGAACGAGAACAAAGAGTGATTGTTGTGGAAATGAAGGAACAGTGAAGTTTGAGACGATTGATCGACATTTTCCAAATGAATTATTTACTGTATGGTTCTCAGATTTAACTAAGATGTATTCGGCGAAACTATAATTTATGGACGTACCAATCAGGTATAAGATAACACGTCTCGGATTCTGGCGCAAAATCCACTCATCCATTCGGTTAAATATACAGTTTCGGCATTATAGCTGACGTCAACTGGTGGTGAAAACTCAAAATCTAATTCGTAACCTTAACCATCAACGGTAAATCATAATTATGACTCCTCACACTGATTTATAACCCTCATTTGATCCTAGTTATCAGGTGGACACCCTCGAAGTCAGTTTCGCGTCGCTCATATGTCATCCATAGATGATAGTCTAACCGATGTCCTCTAATATTGTGTTCAAATACATTTCTTTGTCCGCATTTGTGTTTTCATTCACTACACAATGACTTAACAAATAGGCCAAGTGGCTTATTGAAGGTATTACTAGCTAATAAGAAAAAAGCGGCCACACATGAATAATGGGTTACATAAGGCGGCAATTCAATACAAACAAAATAGAAATTCAAATGTACGAAATCAAACACAAATAGAATAAAGTAATAGTCAATTACATAACCCAAAAACTGAGAGGTGTAATCTTTTAAAAACTAAAACTAATCACTTTATTTTTATATATAGTTGAAATCATGAGTCGATTGAAGCTAGACCACCGTGGAAAACCTGGAAGCACTGTACGGCCGTTTCGTCCTATTACGGGACTCCTCAGCAGTGCGTATCTACGATCCCACCTCGCGAGATTTGAGATTCACTAGTGACTGGATACATTTGGTACTTTTTAGGGTTTCAGTGAGAAGCAGTAACCAGTGGATTTCAACCAGATCTGTTGGGAGATATCAACTCACTGAAGACAATTGGTGAACAGTTGATCAACTTCGTGGATTGGTTGAAGTTAGACATTAACACCGTTGGATGCCGGCCGAATAAGTGGTCTATCAGTTAAGTGCTCGCGCGCGAGACTGATATTTTTTGGGTTCCAATCTCGTGAGGCGAGATCGTGGATGCGCACTGTTGAGGAGTCCCATAATAGGACGAAACGGCCGTCCAGTGCTTCAATTTTTTCCACAGTGGTCTAGCTTCAGTTGACTCATGATTTCAACTACATAAAATTACTGAAAATCTCCACAAAAACCCCTTAATCACTTTATCTTCATCAAGATATAATTACACATAGAAAAAGGTAATTAAGTAAATAATCACACCACTATCAAAAGATATTTTTTCTTTTTGTTTTTTATGTTTAAAATAAATTCCATAGATACATAATAATAGAAAGTTTTCAACGTCTATATGACCCGGGGGTTGTTTATGTTTGTTTGTTAGTTTTAACAAACAGAATATACATACATACAAACACACATACCTTTCCTAATGAATACATTTCTTCTAATTGAACAAAACGCATAGTTATTTGTTGTAAAATAAAAAACCGGTGTGTTTTTTGAAAATAATTAACATAGAAAAATGTTAACAAGACAAACAATAAACAATTTAGGGTCGTCATAGTGTATACATTAAATGAATGAACAAAAGAAAATATTAAGTGAAGATAGCTACGGATAACTATGACCTAAACTGATTATATTGAGAAAATAACTCCGGCTGTGGCTCCTTTAGAGTTACTGCCGGTCCCAAGCCCGGGTAAAGGAGGAGGGTCGGGCATGTTGGTTAGAGACCCTATCCTGTATAAAACTAACTCGCTAAAAAAACGCTAACCAGAAAAAATAATTCAAACCATTTAAAACTTTCACTGAGAGTTTAAGGAAGAATTATGACGTCTCATGATGAAAGCCGAAATTTTTTCGGAAGTCACGAGGCCGATGCCTGGACAATGTGGGAGACAGGAAAGACCAGTGAAATAGCAATGAAAATGAGGAGATAAAAAGTGGCAGTACTCGGGATAAGCGAAACCCATTGGAAACAAGCTGGACAGCAAAGGCTAGGTACGGGAGAGATGCTGCTGTACTCCGGTCACGAAGGGGAAAATGCTCCAGACATTCAGGGAGTTGCACTAATGTTGTCTAAAGAAGCTCGAAATGCACTTGTAGGATGGGAATCTCATGGTTCCAGAATTATCAAAGCATCATTCAAAACAAAGGAGGGGATCACAATGAATGTTATCCGATGTTATGCACCCACCAATGATAGCAACGACGATGATAAAGATCAGTTTTATGAAGGGCTGCAATCAATCATAACGAAGAGCTCACGAAAGGACCTCACCATCCTGATGGGAGATCTAAATGCTAAAGTTGGAGTGGACAACAAAGGATATGAAGATGTAATTGGACGACATGGACTAGGAGAGAGAAATGAAAATGGGGAGAGATTTGCAAACGCATGTGCCCTTAATAAATTGGTTATAGGCGGCATAATATTTCCACACAAGCGCATACACAAAGCTACATGGATCTCACCGGAACACACCACAGAGAACCAGATTGATCATATTTGTAACAAAATATTCCGAAGGACAATGGAAGATGTGAGAACTAGGAGAGCAGCTGACATAGCTTCATATCACCACCACGTTGTGGCCAAGATGAAACTGAAGATAAAGAAACACTGGACAACTGGACAAAAAGCATTACAAATGTTCAATACAGCCTTCCTTCGAGATATTGACAAGCTCAACGAATTCAAGATAACTCTCAACAACAGGTTCCAAGCTCTACAGGATCTACTGAAAGAACAAGAAACTACGATAGAGGACGACTGGAATAGTATCGAAGAAGCATTAACTTCAACGTGTTAGGAGTTTCTGGGTGGCAAGAAGAATCATCATTAGGAGTGGACATCTATGGAAACTCCACAAAATTCAAAAACGAAAGAACAAGAAACTAACAATTAACAACAGTCGAACACGAGCAGAGAAAGTCAAAGCACAGGCAGACTACGCAGAAGCAAACAAGCAAGTGAAGAAAAGCATTAAAGCTGACAAGCAGAAATACATGGGAGAACTAGCAACGATGGCGGAAAAAGCTGCAAGAGAAGGGAATATGAAACAACTATATGATACAACGAAGAAATTGGCAAGGAGATATAGCAAACAAGAGAGACCAGTCAAGGGCAAAGAAGCAAAGACAATCACTGAGATTCAAGAACAGAGGAAAAGATGGGCAGAATACCTCGAGGAACTGCTGAATAGACCAGTTCCATTGAATCCACCGAACACTGACCCTCCAATAGATGTCACTCCACCAACGATCGAAAAAGTCAAGATGGCCATCAGACAAATCAAGAGCAGGAAAGCGGCAGGACCTGACAATATACCAGCAGAAGCACTGAAGTCAGACATTGAAGTAACTGCAAACAAGCTTTACTTTCTATTCAAGAAGATTTGGTAGGAGGAACAAGCGCCAACGGACTGGAAAGAAAGATATCAAGATACCAAAGAACGAAGATCTGAGCAAATGTGAAAATTACAGAGTCATCAGTTTGCTGTAAGTACTAGGAAAAGTTTTCAATAGAGTGTTGCTGAATCGGATGAAAGACGCAGTAGTTGTCCAACTTCGAGATCAACAGGCTGGATTCCGTAAGGATCACTCGTGTATAGACCAAATTACGAAACTACGATCATCGTCGAACAGTCAGTTAAATGGAACTCGTCACTATACATCAACTTCATTGACTATAAGAAGGCGTTCGACAGTGTGGACAGGAGAAAATTATGGAAACTTCTTCGACACTATGGAGTTCAGCAGATTGTCAACATTATCCGGAACTCATACGACGGACTACAGTGCAAAGTTATGCATGGAGGACAGCTGACAGATGCATTTCCAGCAAGGACCGGAGTCAGACAAGGCTGTCAACTCTCGCTATTCCTCTTTCTTCTGACAACTGACTTGATTATGAGAGAGGACAACGCAGCTTCCAGATGAAGAGGAAATTAGGAAAATACGTTGGATCGGACATACATTAGGAAAATCATTATACTGCATCAAGAGGCAAGCCATAACTTGGAATCGGGAAAGGAAGCGGAAAAGAGAAAGGCCAAAGAACACATTGCGCCGAAAAATAGAAGCAGATATGAAAAGGATGAATAACAACTGGAAAGAAGTAGAAAGGATTTCCCAGGACAGGGTTGGATGGAGAATACTGGTGTGCGGCCTATGCCTATGAGGGGTAACAGGCGTGAGTAAATACTTTAGAGCTAGTGACACGGAATTCAATCCTCCAGGGAGCATTGTTTCCCCCAAGATTACAAGTACACCTCGCTGACGAGTGCCAAATAATACGAAGCCTAGGTCCGAGGTTACTTGTTGACTACCTCCAGTCATCACCTTAAAACTTAATCTTGTGACAGGGGTAACAGGAGTAAGTATACATACATTTTTTTCTGAAAGATCATCAGATAATGAGTTTAGTAAATGACAACGTCGTAGGTAATCACCTCTAAGGTGTCATATCTCATCACAAAATATATGTCTAATGCTTTCTACCTTTTAATGCTTGTTAAAATGATGTCACTAATTAATGAAACTATAATAATTGAAATCTGACAGTTATGTGTCATTGTGTACTGCATATTTTAATACATATAAAAACACAAAACAAACACAAACGTGATTGTATACCCAACTGTATGTACAATGAACTTACGTTCATGGATAGGCAGATCACACTTTTGAACAATCTGCGTTACAATTATTGATTTATCATTTTGTTGCATAGAATCATCTTTCATTTCAACACGATCTAACATATTGACGAGTAGATCTAAATCTGACGATTCTGTCATTCTATGAATGGAATTATGAAAATCCGTAGTATTCTCTATATTCTTTCTTGCACTAGATTCGAATTCTTCTTTATTATTATTGTTATTGGAAATATTCTCGCACAAATTATTATCATTGTTACCATCATTGTATTCGAGTTGACTTTGCCGTATTTTATTGATTTCCTGCAGTTTATTATCATTGAGTATTGAAAAAGATGCCCATTCCGGTGAACTGTTACCTCCTTCATCATCACCATCCCCTCCACCTAAAGCTTGATTTAAAACACTACGATGTCTCCATGGTGAATAGATAGTGGTAGCGTTTGTAATTGATGTGACAGCTGCGCAGGTTTTAGAAGATTTGTTCGCAAGTGTAGAAAAAGATGAACTGAGCAATTCAACACCTGTAGAACAAGTTGTTCTAACAGGAACTGTAGTTATAATACGCTGAATTAAATCATCACAAGGTGAATTAAATTGATCAACATTGACGTGAGGTGAGAGAGGTGCCACGGTTGATTTAGTTGCAGATATTGACGATGATGTTGTTGCTGTTATCATTGTAGGTGATGCTGTAGCGACGTTAAGCAATTCTTCATTGCCGATAGGACTTATTAAATGACCTGTACGATTATAATATGATGTATTGATGGTAATATTACTGTTGGACGGTTCAGGAGTTATTGTGCTAAGAAATGGGATTCAGAAAAGGAAATTCAGCTGACAAGATAAAATTTATCGGAACACATAGTGAAAATCACGATGGATTCACAGATTCAGACTGTGAATCTCAACTACTCAGTTCTAGACAGTTGAATGATAGTATTAGAAATTCCCTAACTGCATAAAGCTTCCCTCGGAGCTGAGGAAACAATTTTGTGCTTCATAGGTGAGTTACATTATATGATGACTTCACAGGATCAAAATTTAACATGCTATTCCCAATTCCCACAGTGATCATTCACAAAACATAATAACTCAAAATGATTTTCTACACTGTGATGAGAGCAAAAAAACATCTAAGAGCAAGTAAGAGAATAATGAATATTAAACGAATTGTTAAGACGAATACCAGTAACAATTCAAACGAAAACTCACACGAATATTTAAAAGATGTACTATAGCAATGAAGAAGTATAATTATGGAATTTAGTGTTCTAGAGGTTATACTACTTTTTTTCAGTTAATAAGTCAAAGGTTTAGATCTTGTCTCACCTAGTTCGACAGCAAGACAATCGCACTAGCTCTCCATATATGAATGTGGGTAAAATCTCAGTAGATGAATTTGCGTATATATATCGTATTTTAGACAGTTATGAATAAAACTTACATGAGTTGTTCAGAAAGTTGATCAACTGATTCACAAAGCTGTGGAGAAGCATAACCTATCCATTATGAATAAAGGTGGGAGAGCAGATTTGATTAAAACCGAGAAAGAGAGGGGGAAAAAACATACAACATAGTTAATATTGGTGACTATGGTGATAAATAATAAATATAATTTTAAATCAATGTTTTATTACATTAGTTGTTAATATGTCGCCTAAACTATTCGCCATATAGTGGTATATTTTGTTTAGCTGTATAGGGTGACGTAAACTTGCTAGCCAATTATTATTTCTACTTGTAAGCTTGTACAATTTGCGTTATTCAGCAGTACTCTTTTTTTACTTAGTTTTAAGGGCCTGGATCTTTCCGTTGTTAATCTAAGGCATTGCAATTGATTAGTCTATTCTGACATATAAGCAACCCATGGGGACTGTCTTGATAAGATACTTAGTCATATGGCTTTTTGAGCAGAAGTGGGTAGGAGCCAGTAACCGAATCTAAAAGGGGCATTTCAACCTACTTTGGATTCATTGACAGGATATATATGCTTTACAGTGTTCATGTTTACTTCGGAACTAGAACCTACTGAACTTCGTCTCAAATACCGATGCATCATCAAAATAGCTATTGAGTCTAGATAGTTACTAGCTTGTGCAACTGGAATCAATTATAACTTAGTTGTAAAGATTTTCTCATTTTCACTTGTATTTCTCTTGTTTTCTTAATTAGATTTTGTAACCACTTTCTGAATTGATTCTGAAAAGGTCTGAGAATACAATAGTTTGTTGTTTATGAACAATTGCTTGACGTTGTATAGATAATGAATAGACATGTATTCGTGTATCCATTCATTATTAAATACTAAACTCTGTTAAGAAACTGTAAATAGTTTACAAACTTGCCTTCATTGTTTTATAAGCATTTATTGCTGACTGAGCTTAAACCAACATTCAGAAATCCGGTGACACTATGATTCATGGAAAACCTTTGAGTGACCCCCCCCAAATGATCTTAAGAAAACTCATCAACCTACTAAGGTCTAAAGAGGGTTATAAATTGGAGATAAGGTCTTTGTCATGAACTGGCATCACCTTTAATATTAAAATACTATTTAGCCATGTGGATGAATGGATTTCGCTTAAAAATCCAAGCCTTGTTATCTTAAATCTGATTGGTTCGTCCACAAATAATAGTCTCGCATGAAATAATAATATATACGACTATACAACTGTACAACTAAGTCTCTGAAATGCCTTACGATTGACAGCGAAAATCTGTAAAGTAAAATGAAATGATCTATTTTTATGGCCAGCCCTTCTCAACTTTCCTCCCTATGTTTTAAAAACGCAACATCACTAGAAATGTTGGTTGCATGAAAGAAACACTATACTACCGTCATACCTTAGTACAAACACCAGTATGGATTCGCCCTTGGGTCTTAAATTGCGTCTTTTAGTCTCTGTTCTTGAATTGAGCTGCTTGTCATGGTACGGCCTAAAGCAATAAGTGTTTAACCCAATGTTGCTTGGTTGAATATTAAAACAAGGAAGCCCAAATAGAACATAAACGTAACAGAGACGGTTGGGTGTAACAAAATGAATATAGTTTCTTGTTAAAAGAAATATACTCAAGTAAGGCGATAAACAAGTCCAAATTGACTTACCTTTTGAGACACTCATTAACGGATCGAAATTTAACATGATTGAATCATTGAGATTTGAACAATTTATTCGAGTCTGGAATGATTAAAAAACACGCTTTTAAACTATGCAAAATGGTAACAGAATGAAACGTGAGTGTAATGAAGAAAACGAAGTTGTAAAATATATTTAAAATTACTCTATAAATTAGTAGTAACCAGGCTCTTGTACACATGAGACCAAGCAATAAAACGTGGCGACAAGCATTCTTTTACCCTACTTCCCTCTATCGGCGAGGTAGGCAATAGTTGGAATAAGTAACACATGTCTCGAATACTTTCATCAATGAAGATTCAAAACCTCATTAACAGATTGTTCAGCTATATCTAGTAACATCCGTCTGTTCTATGATACGAAAGTAATACTTCAAAAACACCTGTGATCGAATAGCAGTAGCCTAATAATATCTTCTGATTTTAATGTTTGCGATTCATAATTATTCGTCAAAACAGAATGAACCGCTGCGCGGCATACTCGCTAACTAATTGGCAGATGGACAGCTCGCCTACGTCATAAGTGAGACGAAATCCCAGACGCTTTAAGGGGTTGCAAAACATTTTCCCCAATTTTGTCAGCCACAAACCTATCAGGGTTGATAAGAATTTCAAATCAAAATATACATAGAGCTGTATTTAATTTAATTAACTTATGGTTATTACCGATCTCTTTATTATGTTTCCAAAACTCAAGTGTAAGTGTTAACTATCAGGAAAAATGGCCAATGAATACAAATGTAGAAGATATACTGTCTCACTTTCTCAGGAGGATATAAGTAGAACTAGTATGATGTGTGCTACTTGTGTTTGCAGATGTAAGTAATGTGTAGCAGCAGTCGGAAGCGGACTGTCTGTGAGCAGAAAGATGAGAAGATTAAAATGAAGAGGAGAGAGAAGGAAACTGAAAGCAATCAAGATAACGACAGGAATGAAGGAGCAATCAAGCTTGTAAAAGACTATTCAAAGACGATATGCAAGTGATGTATTTGATGTATGATTTCGACATTTTACTAAACCACTGTGATTATGCATTAAATAATAAACTGGTTTTCCCCACCTGAGTTCTTGTTTACTACACTATCGTCAATACTATTATTCAATAAACATAAGATACTTTTCAAAATAAACAAAGTAATTCTACATTCCATGAAATACAGTGGTCTTGAGTGCTGTTAGAGGTATGAGGGCAGCTATCACTTCCCGCTTGCCCACACCGTGGAAGGGTTCTTCTAGAGGTACCTGAAAAAGAAATCGGGTTAGAAGTGATCTTAATGACCTGAGAATGTAACCGCAATGCCCAAGGGACAACTGCTTGAGGTCGGTCACACACAACCTTTTTGTGGGTAGATTTTGTGTTAGCTCCGTAATTGTTGGGACCTTACCGCCGGACGGATATCCGTGGGATAAGGCGAGGTGTGCATTTTTAGGGTCGACCTTTTCTAGCCCCAGCCCTCCTAATGGGAAGGCAGCATCGCTGTTATGCTGATTGTCTGGGGGAAACACTTCACTGCCGTCGCACCTCTGTACAGTCAGCAGCACGACTTTGGGTTTGCCACCTGTAGTAGTACTGCATATCAACAGGCCTGTCTGGAATGTTAGGACCTTGAGGAACGATTGTCCCAGCCAGTATAGCTCAATCGGCCCATCACCATAGGCAAAACGAACTACAACGTCAAGGTGGCAGCAACGGTCGGGATTCCATGAAATATATACAGAGTGACATTAAGGATGATGGACAACATGAAGTGAGAAAAACTGATGAATTGCAATTTTGTTTTAGTGAACAGTCAATTTGAAGATTAACTTACAAAATTCAAATTGATTATTTAAATCTACTAGAAACAAATATAAAGTTTAAATTAGAATATAATATAACAAAACAATAAACATAATTATTTATTCATGTGGTTTTCTAGAAATGTTTACATAATTTAAGAAAGACACTTTTAATTTTCTACAGATGATTTACATCAAATTGTTTAAACAGTTAAATAATAATGCACGGACCATTAAATACAGTGCCATGGTATAGCCGATGATGAAGATAGTCATCTCTCCTTCTCCAAATGCTCTCACATAACCACGTGTATACAGCCACTGACAGAGAAGTTCTACTCACTGCTTTCTCGTGGTGGGAGTGTTGTTTACGAAATCGAGTAGAGGAAAAGCGAACGTCCGGCGGTTAACATGGTTTGGTGGATATAAAGGATCCATATGGGGGAGTTGAGTAACCTTGATTTCAAGTCAACGGTACACATGGGCTCGAAGATCCTGAGGAAGCAAATGGCGAATGGTTACCGGCTACCATGAAAGTGCATCCCCTAACGTCGCTCCACTGCCTTGTAGGTTAGGTCTCTAGGTCAAAAGCTCGTGGAGTGGTCGCCTAAGAATACAATACCACCTGTTTCTGTCTGGACACCTGAACACCATCTAAACTCGCACAAATTATATATATATATAGTCATTTTCCAATTTGGCTCGCCAGTTGGCCTGCAAATAGTAAGGCAATTTATCAGCATCAGAATCGGGCACCGCACAACAGAACAGATATGAGAACACGGTCTAAGACATAAACGTACAATAACTTCTTCAGGTTTATTTCTTTTCAAATTATCTAGAACCACTATGACTTCAAGCAGTAAAAATATCTTGCTTTTTTATATCGAACAGGTGTGTGGAGAGAAGAATAAAGTATTCAACGGAAAAGAGAAGGAAGCAAAAGAAAAAAAATTCAAAATTAGTCACATATAATAATCTCAAATCACCTTTTTATTAGTGGTTTGTTGTTCTAATAATCCCAAGAATTCATAATCATTCCTATGAAATAGATCGTTTGTCTTAGTTTCTACATCTTTTTCATGGAGATCATTGTCATCTGAAAAAAATATATATATAATATTTTGATAATAAACAATATAAAAAGATATATATATTTCGTTTGAAAACCGAACATTATTAATTGCTCATAGAGATAAGTTGTTAAAGTTGTTTTTATGTAATGAGAATTACATCGTATTATGACTTGATTAAAATCGGGAGATAAAAACACCATTGGATTCTAAAGGCATCATATTCTCTAAGAGATCTAAAGTTGTTAGATTTTTTTTTTTATTTAAACACATAAATATTGGTACAAGGAAGCACCAGATATATATGCGCCACACAAATCTCATTCAATTTGTGTGAGGGCTGTGATACTGTCCAGGTGCACAGACTGAAGCAGGTGTTTTTCTTAAGGGGCCACACCCCCAGCCTTTGACCTGAATGTCTGATCCACAAGGCAGTGGAGCATCGTGAGGAGATGCAGTCCCATGGAAGCCGGTGTTCAACGATTGATTCATACGCCATTTGTTCCCTCAGGATATTGAAGCCCATGTGCACCATTGGTTTGGAATCAGGGTTTTCCAATTCCCCTAGGTGGATCCTCCATATCCACCAAATCGGTTAAAGCGCCGGATATTCGCTTTCCGTCCTCTCAACTTCATGAACAACACCCCGCCACGAGAAGGCAGTGAGTAGGACTTCCCTGACAGAGGCTATACATTCGCTGGCCATATGAGAGCATTTCGAGATGGAGAGCGGACTCTCCCCACTCTCGGCCGTACCAGAGCATTTGGGGGCTGGAGGTAGTTAGCAGGGAACTCTAGATCTACATTGCGTGTTAGTTGGTAAACGTCAACAAGACATACCTGCAGTCTTGAAGAGACCTTTCTCCGTATCACCTAATTTTCACAGCATAATATGTTAACACTGGGCTATTTAATGTGCGAACGACACAACCTACACATACGTATAAAGAAGTCTTGGAGTTTAGTAATGAATTTGTCAGGTGAGGTAATAGCTTTGAATTTTATTATTCACCAACGTACCAATACATGTAGCAAACTGTGTATTAGAAAGAGCTTTCTTTAAATTAAAGAGAAACAATATTTAATAAACACTTACTACTTTCAACAGGATTATCAATAGCTAATGAATGAGAAATTTCTTCTGACTGAACAAAATCATTCATACTATGTAAACAAGAAAAAAAAGAGGGGAGAAAGAACCAAATAAAAAGAACTATTGACAAGTGTATAGATATGATGATAGAGACTAAATTTATTGGGTAGTTAACTTTATAACTAATCAATTAATTATATTAATTGACAAACATATTTATTTATTTAAACACATAAATATTGGTACAAGGAAGCACACATAAATCTCATTTGATTTGTGTGAGGGCTGTGATATTGCCCAGGTGCCCAAACTGAAGCAGGTGCTTTTCTTTGGGGGTCACACACGGAGCCTTCGACCTAAAGGTCTAATCCACAAGGCAGTGTAGAACGTATTACCATTGATTCCAACTACTTAATATCAACCAATCAAACATGGCACTGATCACAAATGATATGACTGAGTAATGAAAGCTTAATTTCTTTATAAAACTTGGAAGAATTTAACACTGTCATCTATCTATTGTGTTTGGACAGAAAATGTTTGTTATCACTGATAAGTCGAGAAATGAATGCTTATGCATAAAATTTATTTGTAGGTATGACGTGTTCTCGTTATAGCGTGTTCGGTTTTAAAGTTCTGTTCAAATCACGGACTGATTCTCATGAAACAACTATTCGAAAACCGCTAAGTAACAAACGACAACAGTTTTCCCATCATAATATGGTGGGATACCTAATATAAACGACCCTAGATTGTCAGATGTCAGGGCGTGTGTCAACCACTTAGATCATTGAGTTGACGTGTAAAATAATTCATAGTTACAACTCTCAATTGCTATCTAGTTGCAGTTAGTGCGTAATACAAACTAAATTCATAAACATTAGTCACGAAGCAACGGAAAATAATGGATAAAGTAACCAATTAGTTCCCAGTAGGATATCCTTCAGATCATAGATTGACCTTAGTTAGACAACTAATAGAAAACCAGGAACCCCATACTAGAACGAAACATCGATTCAGTACGTCCTGGTTTCATTTGGTTGCCTAAGGTCCGTCATTGATGTAAACTATGAAATTCAACAATTTCCATTAGTTACCAGCACTGAATAAGCTTTATTTATCAACAGCACGTAACTCAGTATAAATATCCAGGTTGCAGAAAACATGTATCATAGAATCAAGTTATATTTCTTTCAGAAGGAAAAGAGGATCAATGTTTTCTGATTTATTTAACAATTACACTTCAATTAGTTTAAATAGCACGTTCTTATAGATTGAGGATTAATTTATCAAATCCTATATGTAGTCTGAACGAGGTCAATACATATTAAATAACAGCTATTTATATGCAAAGATGGATAGTGGCTAGCAGTGGAGTCCAGAATGCGCGTTTCATCCTATTCGGGACTCATCAGCTGAATGTACTTGCATCTCAGAGTTGACGTTCACTCTGGAACTCGAACCCAGTACCGTTCTCTTCAAACTCCATCGCGTTATCCAATTAGCTACTGAGTCCTGTTAGCCACTATCCATCTTTGCTTATAATGCTTGTAAATTAAGGCAATACGCACAGTATGCACATATTCCAATAAAAAACTGATCAATTTTAGTCCTAAACATCAATGGGAAGATTCAAGTGAACAATATCAAGTAAAAGCTACTTGTGTTAAGAGGACAATTCGACCTACTATAACCAAAAAAGGTTACTAATGTGCCACCATTCTAAAGCTTTCATATATATATATATATATATATATATATATATATATATATATACGTTCACTTATCTTGGAAGTCTGATCAGCCCTAATGGGTTGGTGTCTGACGAAATCTCAGCACGGATTCAAAAGACTCGTTTGGCTTTTGACAACTTACGTCACATATGGCGAAGACGAGATATCCGTCTATCAATTAAGAGACGGGAATACTGCGCAGCAGTTCGCTCTGTTCTACTTTACGGCTGCGAAACATGACCATTAAAAGTAGAAGATACTCGTAAGTTACTAGTATGTGACCACAGATGCCTTAGAAATATTGCTCGCATCTGATGGGATCACCGAGTAAGTAATAGTGACGTTAGACACAGAGTATTAGGAAATGATGGTAAGTCAGTTGATGAGGTCATGAATCTTCATCGACTCAGATGGTTAGGCTACGTGTTACGTATGCCTGAACACTGATTACCACGACGCGCTATGCTGACTAGTGTAGCGGATGGTTGGAAAAGAGTTAGGGGCGGCCAAACCAAAACGTGACATCAGTCCTTCAAGTCGTTAACTTCTAGTCTGATCCATGTTGGCAGATGCAGACTACCTGGTTGGGGTCCTCGTGACTATCGTAACCAATGGTTGGAGACTCTAGGTGACATGGCTCAGAATCGATCACAATGGCGTAGGTGTATACACTCTTTATCTTCCCTTAAACCTTGAGACTAAAATTGCTTCATATCTCTCTTTCTTCCTGTACTATATCCTTATATACAACCTATAATTTATATACTACTACCACCACTAAATTAATTACTTCTATGAATCCAGTGTTCATCTTGTTGTGCTAACGAGGTATGGCAACTTGGACCGATGCATATGTGTGCCTGGTCCTACGTTGTAGCTGACTGACTGATATATATATATATGCTGAACAAGGCATTAATGCCAAAGTCAGACTTGATAGATTCAAATAAATTGAGAAATCGGTAGAAAGTTAATAATAAATATATTTTTCATTATATCTCAATGAGTAGAAAAACTGTATTTCTGACGTTTCGTGACTTCCACTGAAGAAGTGGTTTACATTAAGTCACGAAAAGTCAGAAATACGATTTGCCTACTCATTGAGATATAACTAAAAATAAATTTATTATAAATGGACAAGGTTGATAAAGTATGACAGACAAGCACAATCTAGAAACATGTGTAAAAGCATCCAAAAGACACTTCAGGTCAAAAAAGATAACCACTGACGACATAGACCAAATACTCTTGCAAAAATCACTACCCTACAACATATTGATATGATTTGAATATGTAATGAGACACTTTCAGCTTCAAATCATGGCATACTGGAAAAAAGACAAACAACCACTCTATCTCGTTTCGAGAAGATTTATTGGAGAGACCAATGAAGAATGAAATAAGTTGACAGGTATTGTATATAAATACATTTAGTGTTCTTAAAAATAAAACAATCAATAATGTTTAAAAAAACAATGAACCAATAGGAAAGTACGACTAAGACTGTAGTAAAAATGAATGATGTCAAAAGAATGAAACATTTTAATGAGTAGAAACAGAAATTCAAATTCATATCAAGAGAATTATAAAAAATTTTACCTACAGGATTTCTAAGGATCTGAATAGCCACAACAAAAATGCATCTTTATCAGAAGGGGGTTTTGTGAGGATTTTAGTAACCCCCTTCTTAGGATGATCTCATGGTCACTAGTGACTGGCTCCACGACGTAATTCCTAGAGTTCTAGTGAGAAGTCGTGACTAGTGGAGCTAATCCACGTCAGGTAGAGATAGGTATCTACCTCAGTACAACGGAAGTTGGTAGCGCAATTTCAAGGATTAGTTGAGGTTAGACATTAACACCGTTGGATGCCGGCTCAGTGGTCTATCGGTTAAGTGCTCGCGCGCGAGGCTAGTAGGTTCTGGGTTCGAATCCCACGGGGCGGGATTGTGGATGCGCACTGATGAGGAGTCCCATAATATGACGAAACGGTCATCCAGTGCTTCCAGATTTTCCATGGTGGTTTAACTTCAATTGACTCATGATCTCAACTATATAAAAACGCATCTTTTTAGTAACTATCAAGTCAATACCAACAACACTGAAATATCTGTGCACTTATTGATAAGTTTTATACACTATTAAATTTTTCGGTGAAGAAATGATGTACGTAATTTTTTATTTGCACTGACTTCAAAACAAAATAAAGATAGACTAGCTACACTGAAAGGAGCATGGATATTGTGATATGGAATATGAAGGTTAACACCGGTCACAGTATAGCGAATCACTACTTTTGACCGTGACAAAGTTACTTAGTATTTTGTTTCAGTAGTTACGGTGTAAGAACTAGGACATATCTAAATTGTCACAGTTCGTATAAGATGAGTATCAAAATGATTAAAATAATATAATAAATGATTATAGAAATTCTAACACCTTATCATTACTAACTGGACAAAAACACTAATTTTCATGAGAGTGATTAGGTCAGATGATTCACAAAGTTTCAGTGATGAGTTATGTAAGAAGTAGCTCAACCATGATGACAGTAAGTCAGTTAACCTACTAATAACATTTTATCTTGGGGACGACTAGAATTGGAAACAAAAACCACCAACCTTAAACTCAATGGTATGACCTAAAAATTCTCGTTTAAATACTGTGTGGGATGTAAAGTATAAATAGTGTTATAACTTGTGAGTGCACAGTTAAATATATGACGTGATAAGATAGCCAATGAGAGAGCAGTGTTTTATCGATCGGATCCTATGATGCACAAAATCGTATGAGCAGTCTTGGGCACTTATCAGTCCTGTTTTCTGCCTAGCCAAGTCAGTTAAGTCCAGAACACCAATAACAGCCTCTGCATTTTGAATCATTATTCTCAAATATACTGGGTTTATATATCAATCGAACAGACCACATCATATCATAAAATAGGAAACAACATTTGTACAAGATTTGACCAAATGTGGCTACGAATAGGGGGAACAGTAATTAATGGACTAGGGATAACTCAAGAATACTAAATCGTATAATAATAGTCTATGGGTCAAAATAAAGCTTATAATAAGAAGGACACGAATAAGAATAGTTTAGTCACTTAACAATTATACAATAGGAAATATACATATCGCATTGGTACATAAATAGTCCTCACAGTTACCATTCATAATTCTCCACGGGATATAACATACAGAATGTAGCTAGCGGTGGATTTAAATTTTTGCATTACGTCCTGTTTGGGACTTGTCAGCTAGATGTACCTGTATGCCAGGATTGATGTTCACTCCTGGACACAAACCTAGTACCTTGAGCTTCAAATGCCGAAATGTT